GGTATAGCTGTTGCTGTAACTACCAACTCTACAATGAAGACTTGTGCTGGAATAGCTGTTGCTGTAACTACCAACTCTACAATGAAGACTTGTGCTGGTATAGCTGTTACTGTAACTACCAACTCTACAATGAAGACTTTTGCTGGTATAGCTGTTACTGTAACTACTAACTCTACAATGAAGACTTGTGCTGGAATAGCTGTTACTGTAACTACCAACTCTACAATGAAGACTTGTGCTGGTATAGCTGTTGCTGTAACTACCAACTCTACAATGAAGACTTGTGCTGGTATAGCTGTTACTGTAACTACCAACTCTACAATGAAGACTTGTGCTGGAATAGCTGTTACTGTAACTACCAACTCTACAATGAAGACTTGTGCTGGTATAGCTGTTACTGTAACTACCAACTCTACAATGAAGACTTGTGCTGGAATAGCTGTTACTGTAACTACTAACTCTACAATGAAGACTTTTGCTGGTATAGCTGTTACTGTAACTACCAACTCTACAATGAAGACTTGTGCTGGAATAGCTGTTACTGTAAATACCAACTCTACAATGAAGACTTTTGCTGGTATAGCTGTTGCTGTAACTATCAACTCTACAATGAAGACTTGTGCTGGTATAGCTGTTACTGTAACTACTAACTCTACAATGAAGACTTGTGCTGGTATAGCTGTTACTGTAACTACCAACTCTACAATGAAGACTTGTGCTGGAATAGCTGTTACTGTAACTACCAACTCTACAATGAAAACTTTTGCTGGAATAGCTGTTGCTGTAACTACCAACTCTACAATGAAGACTTGTGCTGGTATAGCTGTTACTGTAACTACTAACTCTACAATGAAGACTTGTGCTGGTATAGCTGTTACTGTAACTACCAACTCTACAATGAAGACTTGTGCTGGTATAGCTGTTACTGTAACTACCAACTCTACAATGAAGACTTGTGCTGGAATAGCTGTTACTGTAACTACCAACTCTACAATGAAAACTTTTGCTGGAATAGCTGTTGCTGTAACTACCAACTCTACAATGAAGACTTGTGCTGGAATAGCTGTTACTGTAACTACCAACTCTACAATGAAAACTTTTGCTGGAATAGCTGTTGCTGTAACTACCAACTCTACAATGAAGACTTGTGCTGGAATAGCTGTTACTGTAACTACCAACTCTACAATGAAGACTTGTGCTGGTATAGCTGTTACTGTAACTACCAACTCTACAATGAAGACTTTTGCTGGTATAGCTGTTACTGTAACTACCAACTCTACAATGAAGACTTGTGCTGGTATAGCTGTTACTGTAACTACCAACTCTACAATGAAGACTTTTGCTGGTATAGCTGTTACTGTAACTACTAACTCTACAATGAAGACTTTTGCTGGTATAGCTGTTACTGTAACTACCAACTCTACAATGAAGACTTGTGCTGGTATAGCTGTTGCTGTAACTACCAACCCTACAATGAAGACTTTTGCTGGTTTAGCTGTTGCTGTAACTACCAACCCTACAATGAAGACCTGTGCTGGTATAGCTGTTACTGTAACTACCAACTCTACAATGAAGACTTTTGCTGGAATATCTGTTACTGTAACTACGAACTCTACAATGAAGACTTGTGCTGGAATAGCTGTTACTGTAACTACCAACTCTACAATGAAGACTTGTGCTGGTATAGCTGTTACTGTAACTACCAACTCTACAATGAAGACTTGTGCTGGTATAGCTGTTACTGTAACTACCAACCCTACAATGAAAACTTGTGCTGTTATAGCTGTTACTGTAACTACCAACTCTACAATGAAGACTTGTGCTGGAATAGCTGTTACTGTAACTACCAACTCTACAATGAAGACTTTTGCTGGAATAGCTGTTACTGTAACTACCAACTCTACAATGAAGACTTTTGCTGGAATAGCTGTTACTGTAACTACCAACTCTACAATGAAGACTTGTGCTGGTATAGCTGTTACTGTAACTACCAACTCTACAATGAAGACTTGTGCTGGAATAGCTGTTACTGTAACTACCAACTCTACAATGAAGACTTTTGCTGGTATAGCTGTTACTGTAACTACCAACTCTACAATGAAGACTTGTGCTGGTATAGCTGTTACTGTAACTACCAACTCTACAATGAAGACTTGTGCTGTTATAGCTGTTACTGTAACTACCAACTCTACAATGAAGACTTGTGCTGGTATAGCTGTTACTGTAACTACCAACTCTACAATGAAGACTTGTGCTGTTATAGCTGTTACTGTAACTACCAACTCTACAATGAAGACTTGTGCTGGAATAGCTGTTACTGTAACTACCAACTCTACAATGAAGACTTGTGCTGTTATAGCTGTTACTGTAACTACCAACTCTACAATGAAGACTTGTGCTGGTATAGCTGTTACTGTAACTACTAACTCTACAATGAAGACTTTTGCTGGTATAGCTGTTACTGTAACTACCAACTCTACAATGAAGACTTGTGCTGGTATAGCTGTTACTGTAACTACCAACTCTACAATGAAGACTTTTGCTGGTATAGCTGTTACTGTAACTACCAACTCTACAATGAAGACTTTTGCTGGAATAGCTGTTGCTGTAACTACTAACTCTACAATGAAGACTTTTGCTGGTATAGCTGTTACTGTAACTACTAACTCTACAATGAAGACTTTTGCTGGTATAGCTGTTACTGTAACTACCAACTCTACAATGAAGACTTGTGCTGGTATAGCTGTTACTGTAACTACCAACTCTACAATGAAGACTTTTGCTGGTATAGCTGTTACTGTAACTACCAACTCTACAATGAAGACTTTTGCTGGAATAGCTGTTGCTGTAACTACTAACTCTACAATGAAGACTTTTGCTGGTATAGCTGTTACTGTAACTACCAACTCTACAATGAAGACTTTTGCTGGTATAGCTGTTACTGTAACTACTAACTCTACAATGAAGACTTGTGCTGGTATAGCTGTTACTGTAACTACCAACTCTACAATGAAGACTTGTGCTGGTATAGCTGTTACTGTAACTACCAACTCTACAATGAAGACTTGTGCTGGAATAGCTGTTACTGTAACTACCAACTCTACAATGAAGACTTTTGCTGGAATAGCTGTTGCTGTAACTACTAACTCTACAATGAAGACTTTTGCTGGTATAGCTGTTACTGTAACTACCAACTCTACAATGAAGACTTTTGCTGGTATAGCTGTTACTGTAACTACTAACTCTACAATGAAGACTTGTGCTGGTATAGCTGTTACTGTAACTACCAACTCTACAATGAAGACTTGTGCTGGTATAGCTGTTACTGTAACTACCAACTCTACAATGAAGACTTGTGCTGGAATAGCTGTTACTGTAACTACCAACTCTACAATGAAGACTTTTGCTGGAATAGCTGTTGCTGTAACTACTAACTCTACAATGAAGACTTTTGCTGGTATAGCTGTTACTGTAACTACCAACTCTACAATGAAGACTTTTGCTGGTATAGCTGTTACTGTAACTACCAACTCTACAATGAAGACTTTTGCTGGAATAGCTGTTGCTGTAACTACTAACTCTACAATGAAGACTTTTGCTGGTATAGCTGTTGCTGTAACTACCAACTCTACAATGAAGACTTTTGCTGGAATAGCTGTTGCTGTAACTACTAACTCTACAATGAAGACTTGTGCTGGTATAGCTGTTGCTGCTCCACCTTCCACACTATGTGTGTGCCCTGAAAAGCGCCTACATTAAACATGGAGAAACAGAATCTGTTTAAAAACAAGTCCACAATGCTAAATGATTCTAAAAAGACATTGAAATAATTTCCTAGTAGCTGAGCTGATCACCTTGGTAACCAACCAAACATTTAAGCATTTGCCTACCCTACCTGACAACAATCACGTACTGATTATACATAGTCCACATGCCACCCCCTTCTCTTTTCCAACAGTGACCTCACAAAACCACTTCTACACCCCAAACAAGCCACTGTCCCACACAAACCACTTTCCCACATATACCAGCAATGACCTCACAAAACCACTTCTAATCCCAATACAAGCCACTGTCCCACACAAACCACTTTCCCACATATACCAGCAGTGACCTCACAAAAGCTACTTCTACACCCCATACAAGCCACTGTCCCACACAAACGTTCCCACATATACCAGCAGTGACCTCACAAAAACCACTTCTACAAGCCACCGTCTCAAACAAACCACTTTCCCACATATACCAGCAGTGACCTCACAAAAGCCACTTCTAAATCTCACACAAATCATCTTTCCACACTGACCACTTCAACATCTCACCTTCCCACACAAACTACTTTCACAATTCACAAAATCCTCCTCCTACACAAACTAATTCCATACCTCACCTTCCCACACAAACCACTTCCACACTTTACACAAACTACTTTCCCACAAAACCAACTTCTACACCCCGTCTTCCCACACAGACCACTTCCATATCTTCTTCACACGCAAACAATTCCACACTTTAACACTTTACACAAATCACCTTCCCACAAAACCCACTTCCTCCTCTCCCCACACAGACCAGAATCTTACCTGACAACGGTGGTCCCACACATGTGCCCATTGCCTGGAAACAAATCAGCAGCCCAAAAGAGCTGGACATATTCTCGATCCCTAGAATGTCCACTAGAACTACAGACTTCTGGGAAACGTAGGCACCGGTCAGTGTCCCATACAACGAGCACATGATGGATAAAGTTGCAAAACTTCTCAAGAAAGGCAAGATAAACGACACGCCAGCTATGGCAAACACAAAGCAATTATACAATATTGGTCTGTAGGGTCGAAGAAGTGGACGGTCAAGAATGAAACCAGACACAATGCGTCCAAGTGTGTCAAAGACACCAGATATTGACAGCACCATGGCAGCGTCTGACTCAGACAAGTTTTTGGACTTGACAAGAGCTGGAATGAAGGTGAATGCAGCCTTGAAAGCAGCCGTGAACAAACCTATACTGACACAAAACATCAGGAACGATGGATCTTTCAGCAGACCAAAGTGAAATAACTTCTTTTTGTTACTGCCAGCTTTTCCCTGATGCTCCACAGGGAAACAGATCTTCAGAGAAGACAGACACCATCCTTCTGACTGTTTCTGTTCAGGGACAGGACCTGTAGAGGTCAAATGTGTCAGAGCTCGTGAGTCCTCTTTTTCACTGACAGAGACACTCTTTCTGTGCAGACGTATGGACTGAATACTGGTGGAGTCGCCAGCCTCGGCCAGTTGTGCCAGGACCACTTCCTGCTCCACCTCAAGCTGATCCGTGTCTGTGATTCTGCAAAATGAGATAAATATTTCAGGTTTGATCCTCGGTTAATGATCTGGGACTAGTGGACTCAGTTTTTTTGAAAATTTTCAACAGTTTAAAATAAATGAACATTTTTGTTGCAAGCTGAAAGACAAATTGATAGGCAGAAGGTATGGTGGGAAATGAGAAGAATAGCAATGTGGCATAGAAAACAGGGCAATGTAATACAACATATGTTTAGCCAGGACTGGGGGAAGATAAAAAAATTTGACATTTTTAAATCAGATTACAAATTAAAATAAACACTGCTATAATGCTGGTGTAGACAGGGTTATGACATTAGTACATACAGGCCATGTTTTGGTGATGTGTCTCTCTGTGTATTCATGCTTGTACACAACATATACATACAGTAATCAGGGCAATGGTCAGAGCAATATGTCAATACTGACGGAAGCCAGCAATGGTATTTCTAGTTTATCTGTGTCTGTATACAACATGACCGCATAGACAATAATAGGCAATACAAATAGATAATACAGCATGATCACACAGACAGTAACAGTGGACAATATAACATCAACACACATACAATGACAGTGGACAATATAACATCAACACCCATACAATGACAGTGGACAATATAACATCAACACACATACAATGACAGTGGACAATATAACATCAACACACATACAATGACAGTGGACAATATAACATCAACACACATACAATGACAGTGGACAATATAACATCAACACACATACAATGACAGTGGACAATACCTGGTTTCCTGTGTGAACCGACGGTGCATGCTGAGTGGCCGATACAACATGGCAACCAGCATTCCATTCAAGGCAATCCCAGCCATGATGATAAATGTTCCCTGGAACACAGACATATCTCAGTCACTGGAACATTAAAATTGTTTTAATCAAACTACAGTTATACAGATATAAACATGTACAAGTGTTGGCTGGCACTTGGATGCATGGTTAGATGTTAGAGCATACAGCAGGCAACAGATAAACTGGTAGATATAGACACAGATGAGGCAAACATCCCACAAGCTTATCAGATTCATTACGTCTGCATCTGTGTCAAATCCCAGGTACCCACAGTGAACACACCTTGTGATACAGCAGTTTTTCTTATGAACAATTTTGAACTGTCCCACTTAACGCATCTATTCTTTTGCTAACAAATGTATGCTTCAAACGTATTCTTCAACAACAGTTCACCGCTATTGTTGCATCAATTCTAGGGATTTTATTTTTCTTATGCAACAGTCCGGCCATAAAAGATCTGTCATGAACTCACATCCTTTCTGAAACATTGATGTCATGTGTCACTGTTGTCTTTGGCACATTTTTGTTACTGTCTGCACTCTTTGATGAGTGTGCACTGGTAGACATCCTTTAAATAAAAAAACTGAATCACCACTCTTTAATGAATGTGCACTGGTTGACATCCTTTAAATAAAAAAACTGAATCACCACTCTCTAATTAATGTGCACTGATTAACATCCTTTAAATGAAAAAACGGAATCACCACTCTTTAATGAATATGCACTGGTCGACATCCTTCAAATGAAAAAAAACTGAATCATCACTAACTGAGTGTCTCTGGATGGATTGTGGATCAGCGGCTTATTTTCCCAGCAGTCAGAAATAGAACCTATACATCATGGGACAATAGGCAGATGCTCTTTTATTCAGTAACTAGAACTCATGGCATGGCTATAACATGATCATATTCAACGCATGCAGTGTGCCACAAACAGGTTTCACATGAAAGCTACTAATATATCAACTTTGGAACACTCATAATATATCAACTTTGGGACACTCCTAATATATCAACTTTGGAACACTCCTTATATATCAACTTTGGAACACTCCTAATATATCAACTTTGGAACACTCCTAATATATCAACTTTTTGAACACTCCTAATATTTCAACTTTGGAACACTCCTTATATTTCAACTTTGGAACACTCCTAATATATCAACTTTGGAACACTCCTAATATATCAACTTTGGAACACTCCTAATATATCAACTTTGGAATGCTTCTAATATTTCAACTTTGGAACACTCCTAATATATCAACTTTGGAACATTCCTAGTATATCAACTTTGGAACATTCCTAATATATCAAATTTGGAACACTTCTAATATATCAACTTTGGAACACTCCTAATATATCAACTTTGGAACATTCCTAATATATCAACTTTGGAACACTCCTAATATATCAACTTTGGAACACTCCTAATCTATCAACTTTGGAACACTTCTAATATATCAACTTTGGAACGCTTCTAATATGTCAACTTTGTACAGGAATGCTCTCTGTGTACCATCTATGTCTAATGATGCTATATAATATTAAACTGCTGCTATCATACTCTGTGTATATCCACTGTTATGTGTGTGTATCATACTCTGTGTATATCCACTGTTGTGTGTGTGTATCATACTCTGTGTATATCCACTGTTATGTGTGTGTATCATACTCTGTGTATATCCACTGTTATGTGTATGTAATCTACAACAATGATGCACTTGACTCTTACAACTATAGATGGTGCAGTAGACCTACATCCTGCCTGCCATCCTAACAAGGTGAAAGAGGACAGGTCAAACAAACCTGAAAGCCATAGGTATCAAACAGAAACTGGGTAAAAGGCACCAGACAAAATGTGCCCACGCCGACTCCAGATGAACCCAAGCCTGCGGCCAGACCCTGATGCTTGTCAAAGTACATGCTGATGATGATCAAAGATGGGGCATACATTAGACCTCGGCCCACTCCTGTTGAAGTCAGAAACCATTTGGAAAGTGAGCTTCATAGACACTTTCAAAGTTTATCACAAAAGTGTCTGCATGGCAAGAGTTACTTTCCCGTCCCATTCACATATACAATGTTTGTGGATGATTGTGTTGTTGTGAGTCTCTCTGAGGCGCCGCAGGCACCTGTGTATAAGAAGTACTGCAGGGGGAAATGCCACAGGCTCTACAGTTCGTGAGCTTTGAAACTGGGATGTGTTTGTATTTCTATGTCCTTAGCGACGGCTTTCACCCCAGAAAAAGAAACAACTGCCGGGGAAAGTAGAAACACAAAAACACCCCAGTTTCACTACTCACAAACCATCACACAAGTAGCACAACGTGTCAATAATCTAGCAAGTGAGTGGTGACAACATGAGAAAAAAGAATGGTTGAAAATAAAGAATACATGACAACCCTACAACATACAACAGGCCGTGTGACTGGCTGCGGCATAAATGAGATGGGAAGTAACTCTCACTCTGCAGACATATTTCATGATAAGAACCACAGTTTCTTCTCTGTGCTAAATGTACAATGTCAAGCAGGGGCATTTCTGTCTAAGCAAAAACTGTGCAGTATTAAGCATAGCTATTGTCTGTTTACACACTCACTGGACAATGTGAAGCAGGGACCATTTCTTTCTAAGCTAAAACTGTGCAATATTGAGAGAGAGAGAGAGAGGGAGAGAGGGAGAGAGAGTGTGTGTGTGTGAGTGTGTGTGAGTGTGTGTGTGAGTGTGTGTGTGAGTGTGTGTGTGTGGGTGTGAGTGTGAGTATGTGTGTGAGTGTGTGTGTGTGGGAGTGTGTGTGAGTGTGTGTGTGTGTGAGTGTGTGTGTGAGTGTGTGTGAGTGTGTGTGTGTGTGAGTGTGTGTAGGAGTGTGTGTGTGAGTGTGTGTGAGTGTGTCTGAGTGTGTGTGTGTGTGTGAGTGTGTGTGTGAGTGTGTGTGTGTGTGAGAGGTGTGTGTGTGGGAGTGTGAGTGTGTGTGTGAGTGTGTGTGTGTGTGTGAGTGTGTGTGTGTGAGTGTGTGTGAGTGTGTGTGTGTGTGTGTGTGTGTGTGTGTGTGTGTGAGTGTGTGTGAGTGTGTGTGTGTGTGTGTGTGAGATGTGTGTGAGTGTGTGTGTGAGTGTGTGAGTGTGTGTGTGAGTGTGTGTGGGAGTGTGTGTGTGTGAGTGTGTGTGTGAGTGTGTGTGTGTGAGTGTGTGTGTGAGGTGTGTGTGTGAGTGTGTGTGGTGAGTGTGTGTGTGTGTGTGTGTGTGAGAGTGTGTGTGAGTGTGTGTGTGAGTGTGAGTGTTTGAGTGTGAGTGTGTGTGTGAGTGTGTGTGTGTGTGTGTGAGTGTGTGTGTGTGAGTGTGTGTGTGTGAGTGTGTGTGAGTGTGTGAGTGTGAGTGTGTGTGTGTGGGTGTGTGTGAGTATGTGTGTGAGTGTGTGTGTGAGTGTGTGTGTGTGTGTGAGTGTGTGTGTGAGTGTGTGTGTGAGTGTGTGAGTGAGTGTGTGTGTGAGTGTGTGTGTGAGTGTGTGTGTGAGTGTGTGAGTGTGAGTGTGAGTGTGTGAGTGTGTGTGTGTGTGAGTGTGTGTGTGTGTGAGTGTGTGTGTGTGAGTGAGTGTGTGTGAGTGTGTGAGTGTGTGTGTGAGTGTGTGTGTGTGTGTGTGTGTGTGGGTGGGTGGGTGGGGGGGGGTAACAGGGTGGGTCAGAGTATATAGGTATAGCATCCACCTCTAGCTCCCAAAAGACCTGATGTCCATAGTTACAACATAGCCCTGGAACCTTGCACTATAGTCCCTGGAACCTTGCACCATAGTCCCTGGAACCTTGCACCATAGTCCCTGGAACCTTGCACCATAGTCCCTGGAACCTTACAACATAGCCCTGGAACCTTACAACATAGCCCTGGAACCTTACAACATAGCCATGGAACCTTGCACCATAGTCCCTGGAACCTTGCACCATAGTCCTGGAACCTTACAACATAGCCCTGGAACCTTACAATATAAGCTCTGGGTCCTTACAACATAAGCTATGGGACCCTGCAACATAAGCTCTGGGACCTTACAACATAGTCTATGGGACCTTACAACATAAGCTCAGGGAGCTTACAACATAAGATCTTGGACTTTACAACATAAGATCTAGGACCTTACAACATAAAGCTCTGGGACCTTATAACATAAGCTCTGGGACCTTACAACATAGTCCATGGGGGCCTACAATATAAGCTCTGGGACCTTATAACATAAGCTCTGGGACCTTACAACATAGTCCATGGGGGCCTACAATATAAGCTCTGGGACCCTTACAGCATAGTCTATGGGACCTTACAACATAAGCTCTGGGACCTTACAACATAAGCTCTTTGACCTTACAACATAAGCTCTGGGACCTTACAACATAAGCTCTGGGACCTTACAATATAAGATCTGGGACCTTACAACATAAGATCTGGGACCTTACAACATAAGCTCTGGGACCTTACAATATAAGATCTGGGACTTTACAACATAAGATCTGGGACCTTACAACATAAGATCTGGGACCTTACAACATAAACTCTGGGACCTTACAACATAAGCTCTGGGACCTTACAACATAAGCTCTGGGACCTTACAACATAAGCTCTGGGACCTTACAACATAAGATATGGGACCTTACAACATAAGCTCTGGGACCTTACAACATAAGATCTGGGACCTTACAACATAAGCTCTGGGACCTTACAATATAAGATCTGGGACTTTACAACATAAGATCTGGGACTTTACAACATAAGATCTGGGACCTTACAACATAAGATCTGGGACCTTACAACATAAACTCTGGGACCTTACAACATAAGCTCTGGGACCTTACAACATAAGCTCTGGGACCTTACAACATAAGATATGGGACCTTACAACATAAGATATGGGACCTTACAACATAAGATATGGGACCTTACAACATAAGCTCTGGGACCTTACAACATAAGCTCTGGGACCTTACAACATAAGCTCTGGGACCTTACAACATAAGATCTGGGACCTTAAACAAAAGCTATGGGACCTGTTCTAGTTGATGGGTGTATTTGTCATGTTTAAATGTGAAGTTGATTTGTAAGGGGCAGCAGATTTATTTATCTCTTTTCTCCAACATTTGGTCCCCAGAACACATACAGGCATGACTGGTAATGATATGGTTATGGGTCAGCATGTAAGTGGGTGTTGGTATTGTGGGTGTACAACTTATGTGGGTTCAGCTGATGATGGGTCACCTTATAATGTGATAATTTGGTTGAGCTGGAGAGTTTGTGTTCAGAGCTGCAGTTTGGGATGAAGGCTAAAGTGGGTCTATGAATGTTGCGGCAAAGGAAAGTTTATGACCAGACAACAGAAAGAAGATGTTAGATCACACAGAAGACAGCCACACACAAACACTGATGCTACTGGACACAAAGGACAAGAGAAAGAAGCAAATACAAGAAAAGACAAACACACACACACACACATATAGGAGAGAATGCTGTAGATAGAAGTGTTGACAGGATTGAGACTAAGAATACTGACACACAACCAGAAGTACCTTGTGGTGGCTGCAACATCGAAGGACTGAACACACATGGACGATGATTTTGATAACATACAAAATACTCTGCAAGCATATTCTAACATTTGACTTTATTTGAAAAGGCAACAATCAAAAGTGTGTAGCCAACTCCCCTTGTAGAGCTGAGTAACTAACTCACCTTGTAGTGCTGAGTGGGAGAAGAAGAGAAAGTAGAAGTTTGGTGTGAAGGCATTGAGGATCTGCGCCAGTGTCAGGATGATGGCTCCAATAATGGTGGTCGTCCTCACACTGTACATGCTGCACACAGCACTGGCCACGGGACCTGTGGTCACAAAATGTGTTTATGTTTTATAAAGCTGCACGTATGGGTGATGATTGCACATAATGCCATACATTAGACATGATACAGCACAGGACCTGTCGTCACAGATGTGTTTATGTTTCATAAAGCTGCACGTATGGATGGTGTTTATGTTTCATAAAGCAGCACGTATGGGTGGTGTTTATGTTTCATAAAGCTGCACGTATGGGTGGTGTTTATGTTTTATAAAGCTGCACGTATGGATGGTGTTTATGTTTTATAAAGCTGCACGTATGGGTGGTGTTTATGTTTCATAAAGCTGCACGTATGGGTGGTTCTTTATGTTTCATAAAGCTGCACGTATGGATGGTGTTTATGTTTTATAACGCTGCACGTATGGGTGGTGTTTATGTTTTATAAAGCTGCACGTATGGGTGGTGTTTATGTTTTATAAAGCTGCACGTATGGATGGTGTTTATGTTTTATAAAGCTGCACGTATGGATGGTGCTTATGTTTTATAAAGCTGCACGTATGGGTGGTGTTTATGTTTTATAAAGCTGCACGTATGGGTGGTGTTTATGTTTTATAAAGCTGCACGTATGGGTGGTGTTTATGTTTTATAAAGCTGCAGGTATGGGTGGTGTTTATGTTTTATAAAGCTGCACGTATGGATGGTGTTTATGTTTCATAAAGCTGCACGTATGGGTGGTGTTTATGTTTTATAAAGCTGCACGTAGGGGTGGTGTTTATGTTTCATAAAGCTGCACGTATCGGTGGTGTTTATGTTTTATAAAGCTGCACGTATGGATGGTGTTTATGTTTTATAAAGCTGCACGTATGGATGGTGTTTATGTTTTATAAAGCTGCACATATGGGTGGTGTTTATGTTTTATAAAGCTGCACGTATGGGTGGTGTTTATGTTTTATAAAGCTGCACGTATGGGTGGTGTTTACGTTTTATAAAGCTGCACGTATGGATGGTGTTTATGTTTTATAAAGCTGCACGTATGGATGGTGTTTATGTTTTATAAAGCTGCACGTATGGATGGTGTTTATGTTTTATAAAGCTGCACGTATGGATGGTGTTTATGTTTCATAAAGCTGCACGTATGGATGATGTTTATGTTTTATAAAGCTGCACGTATGGGTGGTGTTTATGTTTTATAAAGCTGCACGTATGGGTGGTGTTTATGTTTTATAAAGCTGCACGTATGGGTGGTGTTTATGTTTTATAAAGCTGCACGTATGGATGGTGTTTATGTTTTATAAAGCTGCATGTATGGATGGTGTTTATGTTTTATAAAGCTGCACGTATGGATGGTGTTTATGTTTCATAAAGCTGCACTTATGGATGGTGTTTATGTTTTATAAAGCTGCACATATGGGTGGTGTTTATGTTTTATAAAGCTGCACGTATGGGTGGTGTTTATGTTTTATAAAGCTTCACGTATGGGTGGTGTTTATGTTTTATAAAGCTGCACATATGGGTGGTGTTTATGTTTTATAAAGCTGCACGTATGGGTGGTGTTTATGTTTTATAAAGCTGCACGTATGGGTGGTGTTTACGTTTTATAAAGCTGCACGTATGGATGGTGTTTATGTTTTATAAAGCTGCACGTATGGATGGTGTTTATGTTTCATAAAGCTGGATGGTGTTTAGATATAATGGCAGTAGACATGATGTGTGGGCAGCAACATGATACACACAGCGTTGGCCACTGGACCTGTGGTTACAGACACACTTGTGTGTACCTGTCTCCCTTCTTCCCTTTCTCTCTCACCCATCATCCTTTCTAATCTTCATCTCCAAACTTTGTCTCCCCTATGATAAAATTGTCTCACTCACCAATCTCCCTTTCTTATCTTCCTCTTACAAACTTGTCTCACTCACCAATCTCCCTTTCTTATCTTCCTCTTAAAAACTTGTCTCACTCACCAATCCCCCTTTCTTATCTTCCTCTTACAAACTTGTCTCACTCACCAATCTCCCTTTCTTATCTTCCTCTCGCCAACACTTTCCTTCCTCAGCAAACAGTGATTGTTTTCTGTTGGCTGGCTCACACATCAGCGTCCAGTATTTTCCCCACCCCTACACTCTCCGTACTTAGCTATCATTCATATTTTCTTGTTTGTATAGTATCACGCACCACAATCCAGTATCTTCCTCTTGGACATACAAGTCTGTTCTTTTCTTCCTCTTGGACATACAAGTCTGTTCTTCTTTTCCTCTTGGACATACAAGTCTGTTCTTCTCTTCCTCTTGGACATACAAGTCTGTTCTTCTCTTCCTCTTGGACATACAAGTCTGTTCTTCTCCTCCTCTGTTACTAACCAGATTCCTTCTCCTCCTCCTCTATCATCCACTGTCTTCCTCTTCTTTCACTACTTCTATCTCCACCACTTTTCCCTTGACCACTCTTTCCTTCCCCATATTTTCAAACAAAAAAGCTGTGATTACCCAGAAACAAGCGCAAGGTGGAGACAAGGGCGCCTGGCCATGAAGTCAGTTGGGCACTTTCATTGAACCGAGCTTTAAACTGTAAATAGTAGACTCCATCGTTTCTCTCAAACCCACCTGCAAAAAAAAACATCAATTCTCTCAAAGCCACATCCAAGACAAATATCAACTCTCTCAAACCCACCTGTAAGACAAACATTAACACTCTCAAAGCCACCTCTAAGACAAACATCAACTCTCTCAAAGCCAACAGTAAGACAAACATCAACTCTTTCAAGCCAACCTGTAAGACAAACATCAACTCTCTCAAAGCGACCTGTGAGACAAACATCAACTCTCTCAAACCCACCTGCAAGACAAACACCAACTCTCTCAGAGCCACCCATAAGACAAACATCAACTCTCTCAAACCTACCTGTAAGACACACATCAACTCTCTCAAAGCTACTGGTAAGACAAATATCAACTCTCTCAAACCCACCTGTAAGACACACATCAACTCTCTCAAAGCCACTGGTAAGACAAACATCAACTCTCTCAAACATACCTGTAAGACAGACATCAACTCTCTCAAAGCCACTGGTAAGACAAACATCAACACCGTCAAACCTACCTATAAAACAAACATCAACTCTCTCAAACCCACCTGTAAGACAAACATTACCTCTCGCAAACCCACCTGTAAGACAAACATCAACTCTCTCAAACCCACCTGCAAGACAAACATCAACCCTCTCAAACCCACTTGTAAGACAAACATCAACCCTCTCAAAGCCAACAGTAAGACAAACATCAACTCTCTCAAACCCACCTCTAAGACAAACATCAACCCTCTCAAAGCCAACAGTAAGACTAACATCAACTCTCTCAAACCCACCAGTAAGACTAACATCAACTCTCAGTTCTACACCCCATCACTACTCCATCAGTTGATGGTAAATAGTTCCCAACACTCACACCTACATACAAAATAATTGATACAAACACACTCATACATAAATAAACACAATAATTTAACTGCTATCATCATCATTAGGAGTCTAGTTATCTGACACGGACAATCATGTTTGTTCGTCATTGGGGCACCAGTTCATGTCTAGAGGTGCAGCTCTAATCATACCTGCCTCTGTCACAGAAACTGGGCTTAAGTTCACCATCACTCACTGATTGGGGGGGGGGGGGGGGGGGGGGGGGGGGGGGGGGGGGGGGGGGGGGGGGGGGGGGGGGGGGGGGGGGATCCACATTATCCCTGAAGAACAGGCTTCTAACTAAAAATGATACCCAGGTACCTCAGTTTGCTTTCGCTTTTAGTGTTACTGTTATTAACTGTGAGGTTAGCTCTTGGACTATCCGTCGCCTATCTCTCCTCTGCCTATATGCAAGACCATCATCAACAAATGTCAATATCCTTCGAACAACTGGGGATTCAAGTTCTGCAGTATTGCATGTATACGAACAATATTTACATATTAACATATTAACGAGCACTGGTGAAATTGCAGAACCCTGGGGTAGTCCCAGGGTGATATTACATGGTTCTGAGGTTTATGTACCCAGGCAAAGGGTAGCTATACGTGAATGCAGGACAGCTGCTATCCAGTTCACAAACCACGGTACAAGAAATGGTTTACAAATAATGAAAGAACAAATAAATCACAACAGAGCACAAACAGCCTGAAGCTTGTATCAAACTGAGGCCTCGAAACCTAGATAGCCCACTTCCATACATGACAGAACAACCGGCCTGACAAGCTGGTGTCAGACTAACCCATTTGTTGAAGCTGTATGTTAACATGAGTGTCATTTCCCTACAGATAATAATGTTGAACCACTCGTATTTAATCGCATGAGATAACGATTAATCTAGTAATATCATGGGGGCATGATACAGCACATTTCCAGGTGTGCTTTCTGTCCCAAGGTAGGCGACTGAGAATTCATACAATCAATGTAATGTTTATGAATCTCTGGTAAATATAATATTTTAGTTACTTTATTTTAGTTAATTTAGTTACACTAATTAGCATGCTGTGGGAAACAAACACAAGCCCCTCGCCTCCAACTGCTTGATGACAGTCCATGGCTGGCACACAAAAGTTTTCATGCTCAAGCAACAGGTTGGTGTGAGTTATCAGTTATCAGTTATCAGTTAGATTATCTTCACAGCACTCCGGATAAATCAATAGGCACTCAGATTCCCCTCTCAACATATTCATCAGCGTCGTGCGGTTAATAGTACCAGTCCTATGTTGATTAACAAGACTTTGTGTGCGTCCAGTGTGCTTCTCATGCTTGGCTGTGCTGATCTTTACTCCCAATTCACGTATTCTTAGCAGTGATGTGGACACGTTGCTTCCAAAATTCTCAGAACGTCCTATCTCTCTAAGGGCAAAGACAATATCTGCGTGATCCATGGGTCAGTCTTCTTCAATTAATGCAGCACCTGCCAGTCTATCAGCTCTCTCATTACCAACAACGCCTGTATGCCCTGGGACAAATATGAAAGTAACTGCACACACAGGAGAATTTTGCAACGACTCAAGCCACTGTCTGCGTAACCAGCCTGCCTGGACCCCGGGATCATGCTCAAAGAATCACTCAGCACACACACGCAGGAATAGTCCTATGATCCTAGCCATATGAAAGCCTGTGTCACCGCCATCACCTCTATTGTCATGCTGCTGGTAGTCATGGAGAAGGCACCGCTGGCTTCTTGAACTGTTCTGCCTGAAGAGCGAGCTGTAAATGCCCATGCACTCTTATGTCCTCGTATAACGGACCCGTCTGTGAAGATCACCACAGCTGTCTCATCTGACTTGTCACTGATAAGCGTGCATACCTCGGCATTGACAGCAGTTGGATACTGCTCCCAATTCTTGTTGAGCGTCATGACAAAGGAGTTCATGAGATTGGGCACTTTAGACTCTGGTATCCACTCCTCACCTGGATGGGTGTCTGTAAGGCAACAAACCTGCATGATGTCATCCTCTGCACTACCCAGCCATGATTTGCCCCTTTTAAGCCTATTGCCCTTTTTCTTGAAGAGCATGAGGTGCAAAGGGTGCTTCAGATCTGAGCTTATCTTGAGGTATGCACAAGCCCTCCAGATCTTGATTCTGTAGTTCATGGTAGGGAAGTCAAGAAGGTACCTCATTGCTACACAAGATGTGTCTCCAGTGCACCCCAGAATTCATTTTGCACCTTCTCAAGTCTTTCAATCTGAGTATGGCTGACAGTGACGATGGCAAGAGCATATTCGATGGGAGAGAGTACAAGTCCCTGGAACAGAAGCAGAAGCAGTCTCTGCTCAGTGTTAGCGGCTGCCAGGACCCTCATTTCTGACAGGCCTTTGCGTGCTTTTGTTATGACATGGTCAACATGTTCTTTGAAGGATAGGCTGCGATCAAACCTCACTCCGAGGTTTGTCATCAGATTTGTTCTTGTCAAAATTTCCTCGCTGCTTTCCACTGCTGGCAAGTCTGCCTTCACTATATGCGTGTTCAAGGAGAACCACGTTACTGTGGCCTTCGAAGGGTTGACATGAGCATTAGAATCTGCACACCAAGAGGAGATGCGATTAAGTTGTTTCTGCATTGACTTGGCAATCTCTTGACTATCTCTTCCATGTCGATATACAAAGGGGTCATCAGCAAATGACAAGGTCCTGCCACTCCCTTGCAACTGCTGCTCAGTTATCAGCACTGTGTACACGTTGAATAGCACTGGAGACAGCGGAGAACCTTGAGGCAATCTGGGGCTGATGGTTATCGGTTCTGAGGACCAACAACCACACGTGAGTATCACCCGTCTCTGAAACAGTGCTGCGGCTACCCAGGGGGTGATGAAGGGAGATATTTGCAGCTGGAGAAGTATGTGCACCAAGTATTCAAAATGGTACTCTGTTGTACGCATCCTCTAAGTCTAGTGCAGCTGCACATGTCTCTTCTCTCACCTGAAAACCTACATAGACTTCACAGGCGAAGACTGCTGTATTGAGCCATGTCTCTTTGTTTTGTCTGTTTCCCCCAAGTGTGGATGGTAACCTGACATGCTTTTCCAAGTCATCAGCGAGTCTGCGTGCTACAATTTTCTCCAGAAGCTTGCCTGTAGCGTTCAGTCTGGGATGTCCATACGGACAACAAATCACAACTAATTTGTCTTGTTTGTAATTTCTTGGCACACATATGGCTTGAAAGGCTTCAGACAATCCATATTTTGACACAGGATAAAGCTCCAGCAAGACATCAAGTTCATTATTTTAATCACCTGAACAAGTAAGTTCACAACAAATAGCAACTGTAGAGGGGCAAAGTGGCTTTGAGAAATTGTGTTTGACTTATTCAGATCTGATTCAGTTTTCAGGCATCTGACGTGAACTTTTAAAAAACATGGAAAGAATGGTGTCAGAGTGTACATGATAAGATTGTTCTATAAGAAAGTAATTAATAGCCAACCTTACCTACAATAACATGGGACAAGAAGCAGCCAAGGACCACAAACCAACCATAGCCTCCATCTGGCACTGTGGGTTTCTCTGAAGGCTTTCTCTCATCTCGGTCATCTGTAAGGACCCCTTCAGTCTAAATGCAGGAAGAAATTACAGAAGACACTGGATTTTTATGTACAGTCTTCAGTCACAAAACAAGGGATTTTTTCATGTCTTTAATATCAGTCAGTCAGTCAGTCAGTCAGTCAGTCAGTCAGTCAGTCAGTCAGTCAGTCAGTCAGTCAGTCAGTCAGTCAGTCAGTCAGTCAGTAGCAAGTCGTTTGCAGAACCTTGCTCCCACAACAACCTTCCGGAAAACTTCTAGATCACAAACAAGATATCCTGCGTCTGATACACCCATCAGGAGATCATCCCCCACATCCTGTACACATCTTCTCTTTGGCCTTCCTCTTCTTCTCTTCCTAGGCATATACCCCTCCATTATTGTTCCCTCCTAACTTTTGTGACAGTTCAAGTGACCAAAATATTTTAATTTCCTGTGTTTTATAGTCTTTAATATCAACTGTAAAATACAATCTGCAAAACTGATTCCAATGTAGGTTAAGCAATATGGTTCAGTATTGATCAAGACCGAGAAAATTCACAAAATACAAGTAATATCTCAAATACACAGACAATGCTTGCATACAGAATATCTCAAACATACAGACAATGCTTGCATACAGAATATCTCAAACATATAGACAATCCTTGCATACAGAATATCTCAAACATACAGACAATGCTTGCATACACAATATCTCAAACATAGACAATGCTTGAATACAGAATCTCTCAAACAAAGACAATCCTTGCATACAGAATATCTCAAACATAGACAATGCTTGAATACAGAATCTCTCAAACATAGACAATCCTTGCATACAGAATATCTCAAACATAGACAATGCTTGTGTACAGAATATCTCAAACATAGACAATCCTTGCATACAGAATATCTCAAACATAGACAATGCTTGTGTACAGAATATCTCAAACATAGACAATGCTTGCATACAGAATATCTCAAACATAGACAATGCTTGCATACAGAATATCTCAAACATAGACAGTGCTTGCATACAGAATATCTCAAACATAAACAATGCTTGCATACAGAATATCTCAAACATACAGTCAATGTTTGCATACAGAATATCTCAAATATACAGACAATGCTTGCATACAGAATATCTCAAACATAGACAATCCTTGCATACAGAATATCTCAAACATACAGACACTGTTTGCATACAGAATATCTCAAATATACAGACAATGCTTGTATACAGAATATCTCAAACATAGACAATGCTTGCATACAGAATATCTCAAACATAGACAATTCTTGCATACAGAATATCTCAAACATACAGACAATGCTTGAATACAGAATATCTCAAACATAGACAATCCTTGCATACAGAATATCTCAAACATAGACAATTCTTGCATGCAGAATATCTCAAACATAGACAATCCTTGCATACAGAATATCTCAAACATAGACAATCCTTGCATACAGAATATCTCAAACATAGACAATTCTTGCATACAGAATATCTTAAACATAGAAAATTCTTGCATACAGAATATCTCAAACAAAGACAATTCTTGCATACAGAATATCTCAAACATATAGACAATGCTTGCATACAGAATATCTCAAACATACAGACAATGCTTGCATACACAATATCTCAAACATAGACAATGCTTGAATACAGAATCTCTCAAACATAGACAATCCTTGCATACAGAATATCTCAAACATAGACAATGCTTGTGTACAGAATATCTCAAAAACAAACAATGCTTGTGTACATAATATCTCAAGCATACAAACAATGCTTGTCTACATAATATCTCAAGCATACAAACAATGCTTGTGTACATAATATCTCAAACATACAGACAATGCTTGCGTACAGAATGAAGCTATTCAGGTGGTTCTAGCACGTACAAGGGAAACCCCAGTAGCATGTATGGAGAAATATCCCATCTCTGGGTTTACATACTCCAGCTGCACTTTAACCTGCTTGTTTTGTTTATAAGGCATTGTACTGGAGTTTGTTAAAAAAGAACTAACTACAACCTGTGGAGGACACATGACAAGACTTCCAAGAAACTTCAGAAGTGAATTTCAAGTTATGATCAGTCATAGTCAGCCTACCTGAAGATAATTCCTTCAGTCTCACTTATAACATGTCCATAAACAAATGACCAGAAGTCTCCTGCAGAAATATAAAATGTCCCGTAAAACTAGCGTTGTCTCCCTATTTACAGTGTTACACACTAGCTCACTTATGATTGGTAGACCTTGAGCCACATGACCTGGCACAAATTTACGGGGCTTTTCTGCAATGCTGTTGATATTGCATGTTGTATATTTTAGCAATACAGCACTTTTAACTCTAAAAAAAAAAAATTTGACAAACTGGGTCTAATACTACCACTAGAGAGTTTTGCAACCTATGTAACAGGCATTCTCTTTCTCTGAATAAAAATGTAAATGCAAGACAACCCAGAAAAAAAACCAGAGCGGCACACACGTAACCTGCAGAAAAGTAGACCAGCCCAATAAACTTATGAATGAAACGTGACCTACTTTGTCCATACCAAACATGTCCATACACAAATGACTGAAAGTGTCATGCGGTAATATAACATGTCCATACACAAATGACTGAAAGTGTCATGCAGTAATATAACATGTCCATACACAAATGACTGAAAGTGTCATGCAGTAATATAACATGTCCATACACAAATGACTGGAAGTGTCATGCAGTAATATAACATGTCCATACACAAATGACTGAAAGTGTCATGCAGTAATATAACATGTCCATACACAAATGACTGGAAGTGCCCTGCAGTAATATAACATGTCCATACACAAATGACTGAAAGTGTCATGCAGTAATATAACATGTCCATACACAAATGAGACCTGGACACTTAATAAACAAGCGGAACAGCGCATTAATGCTTTTGAATATAAATGTTATAGACAGGTTCTAAGAATATCTTGGGTAAAGAAAAGAACAAATGCATCCATACTTCAAGAGCTGAATATTGAAGAGGGTTGGCTAGTAAAGACAATAAAACAAAGAAAATTGAAATATTTTGGTCACTTGAAACGTCATGGAAGTCTAGAGAGAACAATAATGGAGGGGTACATGCCTGGGAAGAGAGGAAGAGAAAGGCAAAGGTGAAGATGGGTGCAGGATGTGGCAGATGATCTCCAGATGGGTGTATCAGACGCAGGACATCTTGCTCATGATAGGAAGGTTTTCCGGAGGGTTGTTATGGCAGCGAGGTTCAGCGAGGGACATGCTACTGAATGAATGAATTCACAAATGACTAGAAGTGTCCTGCAGTAATATAACATGTCCACATACACATGACTAGAAGTGTCCTGCAGTAAAATAACATGTCTACATACACATGACCATAAGTGTCCTGCAGTAATATAACATTTCTACACACACAAATGACCATAAGTGTCCTGCAGTAATATAACATTTCTACACACACACAAATGACCATAAGTGTCCTGCAGTAATATAACATTTCTACACACACAAATGACCATAAGTGTCCTGCAGTAATATAACATGTCTACATACAAATGACTAGAAGTGTCCTGCAGTAATATAACATTTCCATATAAACAGATGACCAGAAGTGACCTGCAGAAATATAACATGTTTACACACACATGACTATAAGTGTCCTGCAGAAATATAACATGTCTACACACACACATGACCAGAAGTGTCCTGCAGAAATATAACATTTCCATATAAACAGATGACCAGAAGTGACCTGCAGAAATATAATATGTCTACACACACATGACTATGAGTGTCCTGCAGAAATATAACATGTCTACACACACACATGACCAGAAGTGTCCTGCAGAAATATAACATGTCTACACACACATGACCATAGGTGTCCTGCAGAAATGTAACATGTCTACACACACATGATCATAAGTGTCCTGCAGTAATTTAACATGTCTACACACACATGACCATAAGTGTCCTGCAGAAATATAACATGTCTACACACAGATGACCATAGGTGTCCTGCAGAAATGTAACATGTCTACACACACATGACCATAAGTGTCCTGCAGTAATATAACATGTCTACACACAGATGACCAGAAGTGACCTGCAGAAATATAACATGTCTACACACAGATGACCAGAAGTGTCCTGCAGAAATATAACATGTCTACACCCAGATGACCAGAAGTGACCTGCAGAAATAAAACATGTCTACACACAGATGACCAGAAGTGACCTGCAGTAATATAACATGTCTACACACAGATGACAAGAAGTGTCCTGCAGAAATATAACATGTCTACACACAGATGACCAGAAGTGTCCTGCAGAAATATAACATGTCTACACACACATGACCATAGGTGTCCTGCAGAAATATAACATGTCTACACACAGATGACCATATGTGTCCTGCAGAAATGTAACATGTCTACACACACATGACCATAAGTGTCCTGCAGTAATATAACATGTCTACACACACATGACCATAAGTGTCCTGCAGAAATATAACATGTCTACACACAGATGACCATAGGTGTCCTGCAGTAATATAACATGTCTACACACAGATGACCAGAAGTGACCTGCAGTAATATAACATGTCTACACACAGATGACCAGAAGTGTCCTGCAGTAATATAACATGTCTACACACAGATGACCATAGGTGTCCTGCAGTAATATAACATGTCCACACAGATGACTAGAAGTGTCCTGCAGTAATATAATATGTCCACACACAGATGACCATAGGTGTCCTGCAGTAATATAACATGTCCACACAGATGACTAGAAGTGTCCTGCAGTAATATAACATGTCCACACAGATGACTAGAAGTGTCCTGCAGTAATATAATATGTCCACACAGATGACTAGAAGTGTCCTGCAGTAATATAATATGTCCACACTGATGACTAGAAGTGTCCTGCAGTAATATAACATGTCCACACAGATGACTAGAAGTGACCAGAGTAAATCCGCAGAAATATAACATGTCTACACACACGGTTGACCAGAAGTGACCTGCAGAAATATAACATGTCTACACACAGATGACCAGAAGTATCCTGCAGAAATATAACATTTCTATATAAACAGATGACCAGAAGTGACCTGCAGAAATATAACATGTCTACACACAGATGACCAGAAGTGACCTGCAGAAATATAACATGTCTACACACAGATGACCAGAAGTGTCCTGCAGAAATATAACATTTCCATATAAACAGATGACCAGAAGTGACCTGCAGAAATATAACATGTCTACACACAGATGACCAGAAGTGTCCTGCAGAAATATAACATTTCCATATAAACAGATGACCAGAAGTGTCCTGCAGAAATATAACATTTCCATATAAACAGATGACCAGAAGTGACCTGCAGAAATATAACATTTCCATATAAACAGATGACCAGAAGTGTCCTGCAGAAATATAACATTTCCATATAAACAGATGACCAGAAGTGACCTGTAACATGTCTACACACAGATGACCAGAAGTGTAGAAATAAAACATTTCCATAAAAACAGATGACCAGAAGTGACCTGCAGAAATATAACATATCCACACACACGGATGACCAGAAGTGTCCTGCAGAAATATAACATGTCTACACTTTGATGACCAGAAGTGACCTGCAGAAATATAACATGTCTACACACAGATGACCAGAAGTATCCTGCAGAAATATAACATTTCCATATAAACAGATGACCAGAAGTGACCTGCAGAAATATAACATGTCTACACACAGATGACCAGAAGTGACCTGCAGAAATATAACATGTCTACACACACAGATGACCAGAAGTGACCTGCAGAAATATAACATGTCTACACACAGATGACCAGAAGTGACCTGCAGAAATATAACATGTCCACATACACAGATGACCAGAAGTGACCTGCAGAAATATAACATGTCTACACACAGATGACCAGAAGTGTCCTGCAGAAATATAACATTTCCATATAAACAGATGACCAGAAGTGACCTGTAACATGTCTACACACAGATGACCAGAAGTGTCCTGTAGAAATAAAAAATTTCCATAAAAACAGATGACCAGAAGTGACCTGCAGAAATATAACATATCCACACACACGGATGACCAGAAGTGACCTGCAGAAATATAACATGTCTACACTTTGATGACCAGAAGTGACCTGCAGAAATATAACATGTCTACACACAGATGACCAGAAGTGTCCTGCAGAAATATAACATGTCTACACACAGATGACCAGAAGTGTCCTGCAGAAATATAACATGTCCACACACACAGATGACCAGAAATGACCTGCAGAAATATAACATATCCACACACAGATGACCACAAGTGTCCTGCAGAAATATAACATGTCTACACACAGATGACCAGAAGTGTCCTGCAGAAATATAACATATCCACACAAAGATGACCAGAAGTGTCCTGCAGAAATATAACATATCCACACACAGATGACCAGAAGTGACCTGCAGAAATATAACATATCCACACACACGGATGACCACAAGTGTCCTGCAGAAATACTTTAGTGTGAGCCATATATTCTACTCAGTCTTTTACTGCCATGTTGCCAAGTTTCTCTGTATCCTATCTAGGATAGGAGACTGAGACTAAAGGAAGGAAATGTATTTGTGCAATGAAAGTATTCCGTCACCAAAACACACAAACAACACATGCCACCATAGAAAAGGACAACACAGAGACAACAAAATGGTAAAACACACAGAAACTGACCAAATCTGTGTATGAGCCAATGGACATTTCATAGTCCACCTTGCCTTCCAGGTCCTCCTTGGACAAGCCAGGTTTGTTGTCTGTGTTGGGTGTTTGTCTCGTCTCTCCATCTGTATGACCGATCAGGTTTGTCTTCACATCTCCATCATTATTTTGGTTATCTTTCTGCACCATGATTTATATATACTGGAAAAAGGGGTGGGGGAGAAGCCAAAAGAATATATGTGTAGCTTATAGAAATGTTTCATGAACACAGGAATATATGTTTGACTCATATAAATATTCTGTTATATGGAAATCTATGTATGACTCATAGAAATAGCCTGTAACACGGCAACATATGGTTGACTCTTAGAAATATAGCGTAAAACACAAATGCAGGTTTAGATCTATAGAAATAGTTAAAAAGCACACACATATACACAACAATTTTACTATCATATTACGATCTCTCATATTTCTCTTATTAAGATTTCTCATATTTCACTATTTTATTACAATCTCTCACATTTCGCTATCTTATTTTCGCGTAAAAGTCGTCTGCTAGCTATCATACGATAGCCAGAAACGGTTAGGCGCTTGAAACCCATCACTGTAGATCCCACCAGAACACAGCTACAACTTACCCGTCAAGTATCCTCATGTAAGACAGTCTCTACATCCAGTCACAAACAAGATGCGGTCACAGTTTGGGCTTTATGACGAAACAGTCGATATAAGTTTCCAGCCAGCCTCTAACCGTCTGCTAGTCATATTGACTCCCTCATACACCTGTATCAGTATCTGTTGGTATTGCATGTCCTGGTCTTGCCTGTTCACCCGCCCCCTGGAAACACCTTGCATAGATCACCGTCACACGCGAGCAGACCTGCCCCACAACAATTTAGCAGACGACTAAGAGGCCGACAGGTTCGTTCACAAGTCTACAGGGGACAACTTCAGATAATAAGATAGCCGGGTAATCTATTGTGCTTGCTCCAAGTTTAACTCATCAATTAGGTGCCATCTCCACAGTGAATGCTGGCGTAATCAACCTCTTCTCTCGGTTGTACACTCTCTCAGACGGCTGTTTTTCCATCCCTTGATGTTGTCCTCCCACTTGTATCGTGTCACCGCTTGCTCTCCTGCCCCGACCCTTCCCTCCAGTATGGTTTTTAAGAGTTATGTCTTTACTTGACACGGCACCTGATGATGGTGCGGAGAAGCCGTCAGACGTCTGCTATGACAGTGTGTTGTAGTCGTCTCCCCTAGACAACATGGCGTCTGCTTGATTTGTCAGGCTAAACCTTGGGTTTTTCATTTGTCATTACTCACAACATATCGCTCGAAGAAAATGGTAGGACTTGTTTATTTGCGTTTGTTCAACTCTTGTTTATGTAGTCTATGGCCACTTATGCAAAGGGTGTTACCATTTCCATATTAGGACACTAAACTTAATATCACAGTGTTGTTTTTTGTTGGATCTTCTCATTCAGTCTGTTCATTGGTTGGTACGGTGACTGTTCGCAGTTCTCTTATCGTTTTATCAGTCCTCCCAAACCTACTGCTCTGTTTTCTGATTCACATTTTCACCATATATTCAACTTCTGCAAATGTGGGTTTTCAGTGTATGCTGAACCATGTGAGCACCCAATTGCAGCTGCTACAGAGTCAACTGTTAAACTCGCCTGTCACCTCTACAGTTTATTTGGTTTAAAAAAAATTGGGCTCTCCTCCGAACTTCTACCCGATATTATGGCGGCTAAGCAAATAGCCTAACAGGGACTCAGTCATGTGTAAAATGCGGACTTTCTGCCAAGGAAAAAATCGCGACAAAACTAGGATCGGCACCAAATAATGAAACAAATGCTCTAACAGGGTCTCAGCGATATGTTAATTGTGGACCTGTTTCTGCGACTATGCTGCACCCTGACAGTATCCCCCATGCCGCTACATGTAGCGCCGATGGGGGCTAAATTAGATGGCTAGGACTCATGAGCAATAGCTACAGCATCTCCTGCAACTTCCTCTAATTTATTTGCTCGTGAGTCCCAGGCATCTAGTTTAGATCCCCATCCGCGCAGGGAATACTGTCGGCGGTGAGTTTAACCGCGTTTTGCGCATGCCGAAAAGTGTGAGGACAACAATGACGCTAATCTGCGTAGGAGCATGTGGTCTCCCCGCCTTGTGGCTATTATCGTCTGTAATTTTGCGTGTCTCGAAATTGTCAGTGGTCGCTATTATCGTCTGCTAGTATTGTCTGCAAAAACGCTTGAAATTGTCAACGGTCGCTATTATCGTCTGCTACTATCGTCTGCGGTGTTGCGTCTCTTGAACTTGTCAAGTAATCCTAGTTTTGCGCGATTTGTTCATTGGCAGAAAGTGTGCATTTTAAACACGACTGAGGCCCTGTTAGGCTTTTTGCTTGGCCGCCATAATATTTGGTAGAAGTTCAGAGGATAGCCAAAAAATGACTTCCCAAAACATTTAGAATCTTTATTCAAAACAAAGTTTATTTAATATTCAATTTACCCGTAATGTTGTAGTTATGTTCCTAAATAATAAGCATCAAAAGGCTATCCTCCGAATTACGGTCCCAAATTATTGAGGCCAAAAATATACCCTGACACCAAAGAAAAATCACCTTTTTCGCTGATATTTATACTCTTCGAATCAGCTGACTGTGTTTTCATCGAAAGCTGTTCATGAAGTATATATTTGGGCTACTCGTGATCAAAATTTGACTATAAATGACTGAAACAAGTCTACATCGCAACTTTCTACAAATGACTTCAGATAAATCTGATAAACACATTTTAAATTTAAATTTGAGGCTTTTAAAGACTGCTCGGCAGCCATATTAATTTCAAACAAACACTAAGTAACTTGGTAAACCTCGCAAACTTACTATATTTTAGATTTTTAACCCCATTTTCAAATAAACCTAATGATCAGTACATGTGTTATTCAACACAAAGAACAAGAAAGAAGATTTAAATTGTCCAGTTTGCGTGTTTATACTGGTCAGTAGTAAAGTTGAAAATCCTTATATGTCAACGGCCGATTAGGCTGCTGGTTAGTTACCAAACAAACGCTTGATGCATTCCCTGCAACTCTCAAAGTTCACTTGTAATGAGGTCAATGGTTTTTCTTTATTCTCCTGCAACATTTGTAAAATTGTCTTTGAAATATCTCATTTAATTTAAGTTTATTAGGTGATATAATCAGATAGAGTTGAAAACAAAATATACACCAGATGCAGAATAGTGTGTCAGTTTTTATTCTGTCTTATGTCTACAAGTGGTGTACATGTCAAATAATTTCATCTTTAGGAAGACTAGAGAAGGGTGGGCTGTCAAGTCCAGTCATCTAAAGAAGAGTTCAGTCACCCTTTGAAAGATGGAGGAGGGGTGGGGGGGGGGGGGGGGGGGGGGGGGGGTGGTTGTCAGTCAAGTTTGTCAAGTCAAGTCATGTTTGATAGACTGGGGTGTGAGGGTATGGTTGTCAGGTGGAGTCATTGCTGAATTTTATCAACTTCAGATAACCTAGGGGAGGGAGAGATTTGTCAGTATTTTCTCAAGTCACCATTTTATTTGTTTGTGGTTGCAGGCAGCTCCTATCAAAGATATTGTCATCCCCGACAGCGCACCAACAAGTTTAATGTTACAGAAACATGCCGATTACATCGCTGCATATGGCAACAGAAAGGATGATTATGTAATCTTACACTTTCTCTTGATTTCCCTTAATCCTCATTATGTATATATCTTATGTTTCTGTAATCAGTAGTTAGTCTTTATTTGCTGTTTTAACTTCATGGTAAAGGGTCATCCATAATTGCTGCATGCCTTTGCCACACACAATTCCTGTCACTGTCTCTTGTGAACAAAATGTGTGTCACTGTCTCTTGTGAACAAAACTGAAACAGACTGAACTCACCCATGGCTTGTGACCATATTGGGGGTCACAAAGAGTTTTATGTGTGGCTACCAAGCAGTGATAACTAGCAATTGTAATAAAGCAAAACAAATAATCACATCACAGAGATTTGTTTCCAGAATTTTTACCACCAGATTGCACTTGAAACCCCTCCCCTTTCCCTAAGAAACTGCCCCATCAAACTTTGCTGTCTGACTGCCAACTCTTCTTTCTGTGGTATCTTCTATCTCCTTGAGTCCGCTCATTATGTGATTTCTTTTTCTCTCTCGTTATTTTGACTGTTGATCTCTAGCCCAGGTGAGTCATACATATTGTTCTTATCCACATTTGTTGTGAACACTTTGACCCCTGAGAACATTACTAAATAACCTGTTTTAAATGTCATTGACAAATTGCATCCTTACAATTCTCTGAACTCTTTGACACTAGACAGTCTTGGGCAGTTTGTATCAACATCCAGGGGGTTAAACTCCCAGACCACTGACTAAATAGACCACTAACCAGACAGACTACTGACCAGAAACCACTGATCAGACAGACCACTGACCAGACACACCACTGCCCAGACAGACCTCTGCTGCTTTAAAAATGTCACACACAAAATTTCCAAAAATAAAAATATATCTTTGCAGTAAATAGATGTCTAAAACAGAGTTTATTTCTATATGAAGGAAAGTAATTAATGAATATGAAAAGAGCAAAGAATTAACTGTTTGCTTCCATTTGACCATCTGAAAGTGATTTTGCTCACTTTTCACTAACAGCTGCTGGATACAGTAATTACATTTTATGATGTCATGGTGACATCATAATTCTGTGGAAACTATTTATGTGACCTTTAATACATCAACAACAAACAAATTTGAGGGATAAATGTAATAATAGTCATCCGGTCTACATACTATAGGGTTGCAACCAGTACCACAGCTGTTATACAGGCATAGGGTTGCAACCAGTAGCACAGCTGTTATACAGGCATAAGGTTGCAACCAGCAGCACAGCTGTTATACAGGCATAAGGTTGCAACCAGCAGCACAGCTGTTATACAGGCATAAGGTTGCAACCAGCAGCACAGCTGTTAAACAGGTACAGGGTTGCAACCAGTAGCACAGCTGTTATACAGGCATAGGGTTGCAACCAGTAGCACAGCTGTTATACAGGCATAAGGTTGCAACCAGTAGCACAGCTGTTATACAGGCATAGGGTTGCAACCAGCAGCACAGCTGTTATACATGCATAGGGTTGCAACCAGTAGCACAGCTGTTATACGGGTATAGGGTTGCAACCAGTAGCACAGCTGTTATACAGGCATAGGGTTGCAACCAGTAGCACAGCTGTTATACAGGCATAAGGTTGCAACCAGTAGCACAGCTGTTATACAGGCATAGGGTTGCAACCAGTAGGCTGTTATACAGGCATAAGGTTGCAACCAGTAGCACAGCTGTTATACAGGTACAGGGTTGCAACCAGTAGCACAGCTGTTATACAGGCATAAGGTTACAACCAGTAGCACAGCTGTTATACAGGCATAGGGTTGCAACCAGTAGCACAGCTGTTATACAGGCATAGTGACCATTCATGCCTGGTGATTTGAAGAAGGTCATGCATTTGTTTCACAGCTGTGTAGTTTTGTTCATGAGTGCAGTATGACAATGGTCATGATCTGTGTGGCATTCTCGGCACGCGGCTGGCTGTTCTGAGAGAGAGATCGAGCCATATGGGTTCAAACCCAATGCAGTTGATCCTATCAGCTTTAACTTCAACCATATCTGTGACTGCCTTTGGAGTGGGAAGCGTTAAGTCTTTGCATATTCTACATCATGCTGCACTAGCCACAGTGGCCAGTTGCCTTGCTAGTACTTATGTTACTGATGAGGTTTTATGAGATCAGAGCCAAGTTTGTGTGAACAAACAACCCCACCTAGGCCTACCTGCTGGGGATGGAACTGTTAGCAGATTCCCGGTAGGCAAGTTCACATATTGCACAGGAATATCTTCACATATTGTCATAGTCTTATACTGAATGTTAACACATATGACTAGCTGTACACCTGTGTTGATTAGTGCTCTGTTCTAACACCTGTGTTGATCACTGCTCTATTCTAACACCTGTGTTGATCACTGCTCTATTCTAACACCTGTGTTGATCACTGCTCTATTCTAACACCTGTGTTGATCACTGCTCTATTCTAACATCTGTGTTGATCAGTGCTCTATTCTAACACCTGTGTTGATTAGTGCTCTGTTCTAACACCTGTGTTGATTAGTGCTCTGTTCTAACACCTTGTTTGTTGCTCTATTCTAACACCTGTGCTCTGTGCTCTATTCTACCCTGTGTTGATTAGTGCTCTGTTCTAACACCTGTGTTGATTAGTGCTCTAACATCTTCTAACACCTCTGTGATTGCTCTCTTCTAACATCTGTGTTGATTAGGTGCTCTCATTCTAAACACCTGTGTGATTAGTGCAAACACCTGTGTCTATTCTAACACCTGTGTTGATCACTGCTCTATTCTAACACCTGTGTTGATTAGTGCTCTGTTCTAACACCTGTGTTGATTAGTGCTCTGTTCTAACACCTGTGTTGATTAGTGCTCTGTTCTAACACCTGTGTTGATTAGTGCTCTATTCTAACACCTGTGTTGATTAGTGCTCTGTTCTAACACCTGTGTTGATTAGTGCTCTGTTCTAACACCTGTGCTGATATGTTATTGCCACACCTTACAGGAATACATCATGACAGAATTCTTACGTATGAACGGCATGTACTGGGGCCTGACTGCCATGGCTTTGGCTGGGCAGCTGGACCGCATGGATAAGTCAGAGGTTGTGGACTTCATCCACAAGTGTCAGCACGAGTCTGGTGGATTCAGCTGCAGCATCGGCCATGACCCTCATCTGCTGTCAACACTAAGTGCTGTCCAGGTATTGTTTGGACATATTGTGTTCCCCACCCCCCTTTTCCACCTGTATCTTCTTCTTCTTCTTCTTCTCTTCCACCTTGTACCTCATCGAAGTGTCGGGGGAGATGTAATGTTCGTTGATGAGCTCTGTCAAGAGCACTATTAAGACTGATGTTCATTTCTGTAAGGCTGTCCTTAATGCCATCACTCCATGTTTTCCGAGGTCTTCCACTCGCTCTATACCCGTTGTAACGTTTTAGTGTGGCTCGCTGTGGCGGATAGTACCAGGGCATTCTTGTTAGGTGTCCAAACCACTTCATTTGTTGTTCTTTGATGACCTGTAAGACTGGCTTTATTCCTAGCATTCATCTGATTTCATGATTTCGTATTCTGTCTTTCCTTGAAACTCCTGCAGCTCTTCTAAGGCATTTCATCTATGTTGTCACAATTTTATGTTCATTGGAAGATGTAAGTGTCCACGTTTGGCACTGATAGCATAGTATTGGCCAAAAAATAGTTCTGATAAGATTCACTTTAGTACTCTGAGGTATCTGCTTGTGTGTCAACAGGGGAGATAGTTGACCCATTACTTGATTAGCTTTGGCACATCTGGAGCTAATTTCTCTGTCCTGTTTTCCGTCTGAAGTAAAAATTGCTCCCAAATACTTAAATTCCTCTGTTTGTCACAGGGTATTGTTTCTTAATTTAATTTCTAAATTGTCTTTATGTCTTCCTGTCATCATTGTCTCTGTCTTCGTAGTGTTTATTTTCATATTATATTCCTCCCCTTTGTTACTAATTTGATTTTGGTGGTTCTGTAGGCATTCCGTATTTTCTGCTATGAGTACCTGGTCGTCGGCGAAAAGTAATTCTGTAATATCTTCTTTATGATTAAGGTTCGTTTCTCTACATATGGTATCCATGTATGTTATAAAAAGAAGCGGCGATAGTACACAGCCCTGACGCACACCAGAGTTCACTATAAAAGTTCTTGACAACCCTGCCTTCGATCTCATGCAGCATTTACTACTTGTGTACAGGCTTTTGCAAATATTAATGAGATGATTGCTGATTCCTTTTTTCCCCATACATTCCCACAACATATTCCTGTCGACTCTATCGAAGGCTTTTTCTTGGTCTATGAATGTCAACAAACATGTCTTATCATGTTCTATTGCCCTCTCTGATAGTTGTCTCAATGTATAAATGGCATCTGTGCAACTTCTGTTTCGTCGAAAGCCCATCTGTGCTTCTGAAAGTTGATGCTCTATCAAACCTGTATTTCCACCTGTATTTGATGGATTATTTCAGTTATTATTACTAAGAGGTGTGTCTGTCGAAAGTTGTGATAACTGGACACATCAGTAATGTTAGATACAGACAAAACAGATATTTGTTTGTTTGTGGCAACTTTACTGAGGGGAGTGTCTGTGAAAGCTTGTGACAACTGGACACATCAGTAGTGTTAGACACATAAACAAGACAGATATATGTGTGTAAGTGGCAACTTTACTGACAGGAGTGTCTGTGATGAAGGTTGTGACAACTGGACACATCTGTAGTGTTAGACACATAAACAAGACAGATATATGTGTGTAAGTGGCAACTTTACTGACAGGAGTGTCTGTGTATATATGAAGGTTGATGACAACTGACACAGATCAGTGAGTGTTTGAGACACACACAACAAGACAGATATATGTGTATATGTGACAGCTGGAGTGGCAACACACAGGCAAGACAAGTATTGTGTACTGACAGCTGGACACATCATTGTGTCTGTGATGAGGGTTGTGACACACATGGACACATCAAGACAGATATATTGTTATACACACTCATTTGATGTCAGACAAGACAGTGTATTGTGACTGACAGACACACAGTGTCTGTGCAACCCAACATTGTTGTGACACACTAGATAAATCTGTGTGACAGCTAGACACAAACATTGATGTCAGACACACAGACAAGACAGATATGTGTATATGTGACAGCTGGACACATCATTGATGTCAGACACACAGACAAGACAAATATATGTGTATATGTGACAGCTGGACACATCATTGATGTCAGACACACAGACAAGACAAATATATGTGTATATGTGACAGCTGGACACAACATTGATGTCAGACACACAGACAAGACAAGTATATGTGTATATGTGACAGCTGGACACAACATTGATGTCAGACACACAGACAAGACAGATATATGTGTATATGGGACAGCTGGACACATCATTGATGTCAGACACATAGACAAGACAGTACTGGATGAGTTAACAGGCTAATGTGTGCATCAGTGCTGATGTGGACAGAATTTGTTAGCTCAAGTGTGTATGAAGTTGCTAAGATTGTGCAAGCCTGCAGCTGTAGCTGCTGTAACAGTAGCTGTTTCCTGCCCTCAGATCCTCACCTTGTTTGATGCCCTGGACTCTGTCGACACCGCAGCCACTGTGAAGTGGGTCAAGAGTCTACAACAGCCTGATGGTAGTTTCTTTGGGGATAGGTGGGGTGAGTTCCATGTGTGTGGTCACAGTGTGTGAAATCTACTTGCTGTGTGTGGAATGTGTAAATGTACTTGGTATGGGTGTGTGGTCTGTGTGTAAATGTAATTGATATGGGTGTGTGGTCTGTGTGTAAATATAATTGATATGAGTGTGTGTGGTCTGTGTATGAAATTTACTTGATGTGTGTGGTCTGTGTTTAAATGTACTTGGGATGTGTGTGAAATCTGCTTGATGTGTGAAGTGAGTACCGGCAGTGACGGAGGTGGTGGTGTTAGACAGGAGTTCATCAACTTTTCCTTATCTGTAAAAATGCACTCAGTCCATGGATTGGATTGAATGCCTGCAGGACCAGAAGCTAAGATAACCCACTGCCAGTACTTGTTTGTTATCCAACCACCAGTATAGTTGACTGTTGGAGGATTTTTCTTCTTCTTCTTCTTTGTCTTTTTCTCCTCCTCTTCCTCTGGTTACCTCATTGAAATGTTAGAGGAAAATAATGGGGGGAGGGGGGGGGGGGGGGGGTAAAGATTTTCTGTGTGCTCATTTAATGTGTTCAGTAGGTTGATCTTCATGTCCTTGTGTGTCTGCATGCTGCTGTTATTTCTTTTGCTTAGTCCTCCTTTTGCTTCATGGTCGTGATATTTCTTTAGAGCAAAACTGTCTGGGGCTGGTGGCTGTTAGAACACTTTAGAGCAATACTGTCTGGGGCGGTGGCTGTTAGAACACTTTAGAGCAATACTGTCTGGGGCGGTGGCTATTGGAACACTTTAGAGCAATACTGTCTGGGGCGGTGGCCTATTGGGCAACACTGTCGGGGCGGTGGCTATTGGCAACACGGTTGGCTAGAGAGCAATACTGTCTGGGGCGGTGGCTATTGGAACACTTTAGAGCAACACTGTCTGGGGCGGTGGCTATTGGAACACTTTAGAGCAACACTGTCTGGGGTGGTGGCTATTGGAACACTTTAGAGCAATACGGTCTGGGGCGGTGGCTGTTAGAACACTTTAGAGCAATACTGTCTGGGGCGGTGGCTATTGGAACACTGGTTTTTTTCTTTTTAATTTTTCAATTGCGACCAATATAGTTGAGCATTGTGACCTTAGTTTGTCATTTTTCAGGTGAAGTGGACAGCAGATTTTCCTTTGTTGCTGTGGCTTGCCTGGCATTGTTGGTATGTCCCATTGTGCCAGCATTGATGTGCTAATTACAAAAGTTGTATCCTATCTCCATTATATGTATAGGAAACTTTCCAGCCAGTTCTGTCACTAGACATGGCATTTTTAGTCTTTAGTTTTAGTCTAGTTTGTTTAGTTTTAGTCTAGTTTGTTTAGTTTTGTTTCATGGTATTTAATTGTGCTTTAGTTTACTTAGTCTTAGTTTATTTAATGCCAGTTGACATGTGTTCCTTGCGTTGGTTTCAACAGTGGTGTCAAGAAAGCTGACCGTCCAGAAAGTAATGGCAAAATACTGGACGTAAATTTGGTAGAAAAACCACACAACAGCCAAGGGCTGTTGGTATTGGTTGTGCAACGTCCTGTAAAGGTTACGCAACTAACCAGACAAGTGTTAGTTTCAGTTTATGTACCATTTGTTTATTTGTCATTTTATTTTCTGTCAGCCTGTTTAATTACAACTTAATCAGTAACAATAAATGTCATTATGACGTTACTGTAACCTGATGTATGGTGGGTAGTGCTCTGTGTTTTATTACTTGTCACTTGAGTTAGAGAGACCTTGCTCTCCAAGATTGCGTTAATGTTCAGTGACCATGTTTGTCTTGTGTTGATAGAAAAGCTTGGATCAAGTGGATGTTGACAAGGCTGTGGAGTTTGTTCTGTCCTGTATGAACTTTGATGGGGCTTTTGGTTGTCGACCAGGCAGCGAGTCCCATTCTGGCCAGGTATGTCACTGCTGGTCTATTTTAATCCCATTTTGGTCTTCGTGTCTTGTGTGTTTCACCGGAGCATGGAACCTCAGTCACGTCATGTCACTGCTGGTGTAGAATAATAGCATCTTGTCCGTTAGTGGTCACATGTTCATTGTGTTTCACCGGAGCATGGAACCTCAGTCACGTCATGTCACTGCTGGTGTAGAATAATAGCATCTTGTCCTTTAGTGGTCACATGTTCATTGTGTTTCACCGGAGCATGGAACCTCAGTCACGTCATGTCACTGCTGGTGTAGAATAATAGCATCTTGTCCTTTAGTGGTCACATGTTCATTGTGTTTCACCGGAGCATGGAACCTCAGTCACGTCATGTCACTGCTGGTGTAGAATAATAGCATCTTGTCCTTTAGTGGTCACATGCTCATTGTGTTTCACCGGAGCATGGAACCTCAGTCACGTCATGTCACTGCTGGTGTAGAATAATAGCATCTTGTCCTTTAGTGGTCACATGTTCATTGTGTTTCACCGGAGCATGGAACCTCAGTCACGTCATGTCACTGCTGGTGTAGAATAATAGCATCTTGTCCGGTTAGTGGTCACATGTTCATTGTGTTTCACCGAGCACTGGAACCTCAGTCACGTCATGTCCCCTGCTGGTGTAGAATAATAGCATCTTGTCCTTTAGTGGTCACATGTTGCATTGTGTTTCACCGGAGCATGGAACCTCAGTCACGTCATGTCACTGCTGGTGTAGAATAATAGCATCTTGTCCTTTAGTGGTCCACATGTTCATTGTGTTTCACCGGAGCATGGTATTCTCAGTCACGTATGTCATGCTGGTGTAGAATAATAGCATCTTGTCCTTTAGTGGTCACATGTTCATTGTGTTTCACCGGAGCATGGAACCTCAGTCACGTCATGTCACTGCTGGTGTAGAATAATAGCATCTTGTCCTTTAGTGGTCACATGTTCATTGTGTTTTCAGAGCCAATGTAAAGAATATCACTTGAAACTGGGAAGTAGACAGGCGGCAGTTTTTGACCAGACCAGGAGAGGAGAGCTAGAGTATATGTGTCTATCATCATCCAGTACTGTGTGTTCTGTACAACTAATTCCCCTTAAGACTTTCACATGTTCCATTTGCACATGTGGTCCCTCCCAGAGATGCAGCAAAAATACCGACCGGAAAAACACCATCACAAATATGATGCAGAAATTCAAGCTGTCAAGATAGCAGTCAAGAAACTGCTAAATGCTAGTCATATTTCACAACCCGTGGTATTCCTGACAGATGCAAGATCAGTACTTGAGTCACCCCAGTCTGAACAATTACCTGGTATACGGACACTACTCTACAAAATAGGCAACCGCTGTAAGGTAACTTATACAATTGATACCAAAGAGAATTTGAGTTGTACATGTGTTATGTGGCATAGAGAGTGTCATTTGTACAAGTGTTGTGTGGCATAGAGAATGTCAGTCGTACAAGTGTTATGTGGCATAGAGAATGTAAGTTGTACAGGTTTTATGTGGCATAGAGAATGTCAGTTGTACAAGTGGTACATGGCATAGAGAATGTAATAGTGATGGGAGTGATTATTTGGCAGGTGTACTGTTGTGTTGGTTTGCTGTCAATCACTGGAAGACTTCACCATGTCAATGCTGACCAGTTAGGCTGGTGGCTGTGTGAGCGACAGCTGCCCTCTGGGGGTCTCAATGGTGGGTATCATATTGTCTGTGGTCTGTGTCTGTTAGCTCTCTTTAAGGCTGACACTTGCTGATGATGATGATGAGCTGTCTCTTCACTAAATCTAAGCATGTTGCAAATCTTTGTGCCATAATTTTGTTGTTAAGTTATGAAATCTGACATGATGTCAACAGAGGCTGAGGGATCAACCTGTCTCAGCTGTATTCATGCACAGGACAAGACAGGAGGCTAAAGACAGGACAGGATGCTGCAGGAGAGGACAGGTTACTACAGGACAGGACAGGATGCTGCAGGACAGGACAGATTAATACAGGACAGGATGCTACAGGGCAGGATGCTACAGGACAGGATGCTACAGGACAGGATGCTACAGGACAGGATGCTACAGGACAGGATGCTACAGGGCAGGATGCTACAGGGCAGGATGCTACAGGACAGGACAGGATGCTGCAGGACAGGACAGGATGCTACAGGGCAGGATGCTACAGGACAGGATGCTGCAGGACAGGACAGGATGCTACAGGGCAGGATGCTACAGGACAGGATGATACAGGACAGGATGCTACAGGACAGGATGCTACAGGGCAGGATGCTACAGGACAGGATGCTACAGGACAGGATGCTACAGGACAGGACAGGATGCTGCAGGACAGGACAGGATGCTGCAGGACAGGACAGGATGCTGCAGGACAGGACAGGATGCTACAGGACAGGATGCTACAGGACAGGATGCTACAGGGCAGGATGCTACAGGACAGGATGTTACAGGACAGGATGCTACAGGACAGGATGCTACAGGACAGGATGCTACAGGACAGGATACTACAGGGCAGGATGCTACAGGGCTTGATGCTACAGGGCAGGATACTACAGAGCAGGATGCTACAGGACAGGATGCTGCAGGGCAGGATGCTGCAGGACAGGATGCTACAGGACAGGATGCTACAGGACAGGATGCTACAGGGCAGGATGCTACAGGACAGGATGCTACAGGGCAGGATGCTACAGGACAGGATGCTACAGGACAGGATGCTACAGGACAGGATGCTACAGGGCAGGATACTACAGGACAGGATACTACAGGACAGGATGCTACAGGGCAGGATGCTACAGGGCAGGATACTACAGGACAGGATACTACAGGGCAGGATACTACAGGACAAGATACTACAGGACAGGATACTACAGGGCAGGATACTACAGGACAGGATACTACAGGACAGGATACTACAGGGCAGGATGCTACAGGACAGGATACTACAGGGCAGGATACTACAGGACAGGATACTACAGGACAGGATACTACAGGACAGGATACTACAGGACAGGATACTACAGGGCAGGATACTACAGGACAGGATACTACAGGGCAGGATGCTACAGGGCAGGATGCTACAGGGCAGGAGGATGCTACAGGGCAGGATGCTACAGGTTGCCAAGTTGTTGAGACTGTTCCTTCTCATAACATGTGCAGCAGACAACACTGACAGAGTCTGATTGTTACGACATTCATCTGTCTCAATGAGGACCTACCTTATTGGTTTTTCTATTATTCAGTGATATTAATTGCATTCTTCGTCTTTGAAAACAAAATCTCTACTTTGAGTGACTCACAAGTACCTGACTTTTAAAAAGATTCAGTACACAATGGAAGCAGTCAGCGGGCCAGATTTATTTAGTCTACTGTGACCAATTGTGGAAAGCGAGCATTTTATGTGATAACAGGGCAAAGCCTTATATCGTCACATGTTGCCGAAAGCTAACAGTTAATGTTTACACACAGCAGACCCAGCCTTTAGTCTTGGTTGGCAGCTGGTCTACAAGGGAAGCTTCAGCAGGTATAATAGACAGAACACTGCTCTTCTGATCCAACAACTTCTGCAGCATGCTTAGTTACAAACATATTGGTGGTGCCTTCCTTTTTGAGTTGTCAAAGAAAGCTGAGAGAGGATCATGTGGCACATATAACAGTCTCTACAACACTGCCCAGGCTTTATACCATGGAGAGGAGAACTACTTCTCTGGTCGTAACTGGTATTGCTATCATCTGTGATTCCCACGCCTGCCTGTCTGCAGCACAGTGGAACACTGTCGCCTTCACAGACAGGTCTCAGGATTTTACATTAGCCTAGCATGGCTTCAATCATCATCATCATCATCATCCTTTGTTGCCTTTATACATCACATGGTGCCCTCAGTTTATTCTTTCCTTCCATCAGACATTGACAGTTACATCAGACATTGACAGTTACATCAGACATTGACAGTTACATCAGACATTGACAGTTACATCAGACATTGACAGTTACACCGGACATTGACAGTTACATCAGACATTAACAGTTACACAAGACATTGACAGTTACATCAGACATTGACAGTTACACCAGACATTGACAGTTACATCAGACATTGACAGTTACATCAGACATTGACAATCAGACATTGACAGTTAAATCAGACATTGACACTTACACCAGACATTGACAATCAGACATTGACAGTTATAGCCTCTGTGTGCAGGTCGACCTGAGAAACTTCCAGACGTCTGCTACTCTTGGTGGGTGTTATCGTCTCTGAAAATTATTGACCGCTTACACTGGATTGACAAGGTCAGTCATGCAAAATCTCTTCTGTATTGTCACATGTTTGGCTACCACTCGTTCATTCTAAACATTAGTATCAATGAAGCTCATCGTTTTCTCTAAAACTCTTGTTATATCTAAAACTCATCATTACTTCTAAAACTTATTGTTATTAAAAAACTCACAGAATAACAGTTTTTGCATTCAGTGAGTTAAAGTTGCAGCATCTGCACTTTTGGCATTGGCCAGCGTATTCTAGTCCATGGCAGATGTAGTTGGGTGACTGTCTCCTTTCCTCATTGCCTTTCCTTCCTTGTCAGGCATTTATAGTTCAGCTCATAAATGTTAACTACCCCCTTTTTGACCATGTCAGGTCAGTGCCAGAGTGATACTAGCTGGACACAGTTATCCTGTCTCTGCCGGTGACTATATCAGGACCATTGTCTTGGCAGGTAGCTGCCCAGACTACTCTGCCACAGTGTTTCCTTGCTGAGGGAGGGGCCTCATCCATGGGATGTTCATGCACTCTAGGATGTGTCTGCCGCTCATGAATCATTGTCTGTTGTCTGACATTAAAGTGTGGATGCGTTTGTAATCACTAGGTGTGTGTGTGGGTGGGTGTGTGTGTATGTGCACATGTGCGTGTGTGTTTCTGTGAGAGAGAAAGACTGCTACTTAGATGTTGACATCACAAAACTCGTTACTATGAAATTATCTGTTAGCCATTTTTGTTTTTCCTTCTCTGAGCCTTTTGGATTCATTGCTACACATATCATCCATGTCTGTTCATTTCAGTGATTGGCTAAATCTTTCCAGTTGATGACTTTGAAATGTTATAGGTCTGCCATGTTGTCCTGCCTCTCGGTCAACCCCATTCAAGTCTTTTCTGTAGACAGTTTTCACACAACATTTGCCCTCTGTCTGCAGCTTGACGGGGTCCAGGGCTTTGTTGAAAGTCTGTTGGTGTTGTTTATTACACCTTATCATTGTATCATTATTGCGCTCACACACACGCACACACATATGAAGAGAGAAAGCACATGTCATGTTGATGGTTGCTGACGTCCATGTTCATCTGTCACCGACCTCCAGGAGAAACTGGTCAGCTTTATTCTGGCCTGTCAGGACGAGGAGACTGGAGGCTTTGCTGACAGACCTGGAGATATGGTGAGTCTTGTCTGTCTCTCCAACTGTGTTCATGGCAGTAGTATACTAGGTACAGACACAAGAGCATGTGTCTAAACAGCAAAGACAGGAGCAGATTGCCAGTGTCCACCCATGACAGGGAAACACACCAGGCACTGTCTACTCCACCACTGTTTGGGGGGAAGGGGGATAGGACAGAAGATAAACACAGGTATTTGTTTATCTGTCTGCTCACCACAGTATATGTGGGGACAACAAATTACTGGAATGTTCTGTCAGCATATCCTCTCTGCAGGCAGGTCAGGGACAACTTCCAGATCAACATTCCAGGCTCTGTGGAGCTAAAGAGAAACTCCAAGAAACAGTCAAGTTAATCACAGGGAAACACCTGGCCATGTATACATCAAAGAAGTCATCATGTCTACAACCACAACAAGACAGAAGCATGTCAGCTAGCAAGTCTTTTCCCTGTAACACAGGCAATCTGGTGCTGGGCTCAAATCCGCACAAAATGGGTTCTAGAATGAAAGAAATAGAGATATAAGAAACCTACGTAGGAGGATTCTGGTCAACCTGTCATCATGGCATGGAAACATTCCAGCACACATGTTGATATATTCTTTCAGAGGTGTGAGGAATCGTCACCGTGCCAGCTGGCAAGGCAGATGGTGATTATGGTCAGTACTGTCAGAGAAGATTGTAGAAAATGATTACCGATAGATCAGGAGCTGAGTGTCTGAGAAGCAACTTGTTAAGTACTTGCTATAGCAGCGATGGCCCTGAAATCCCATGCTTCAACCTGGGAAGACTTTCCTTAACATAAGCAGGTTTTGCTAGTCACACTCACAGTTGCTGTTCACACACTCACCCTTGCTGTTCACACTCACCGTTGCTGTTCACACTCACCGTTGCTGCGTGCTGTGGTTCTTATGCCTGCTTATAACACAGATATATAACACTGACTGTCATCTGGAAAAACCGAAAATTGTCAACATTGACATTTTATTTGTCACAGAATGTTTTTACTGATATCATGAAGCTCGTTTCACTGTGGGTCATATAAATATGGTGTGGGTCAGGTGGTGTAGTGGTTTGCGTTGTTGCCTGCCAAGATAAGAGTCCATGTTCAGTCCCCAGATGGGGGCTAAATTTCTGTCAACCATTTTGTCTCTCAGGTTAACCCAACCTCATAAAACTAGGTGTCCGATAATATCCAGAGTTCTCTGGGGTTTGTGTGGGAAGTAAAGGTGGCAGGAAGGGAACTGGTCACCTCATCTCATTGCTGATGGTCTAGAATATGTGCAAGCCTAGCATGACAGACCCTGACAGCTGTGTCAGCTTTCGGACAACCTGGATCTTATAACTAAGGTACATCTGTGCTGTAGCACCTGGTGTCTTTCATGTGTGGACAGTGGAGCCTAGTTAAGACAGCCTAGATCTTTTAACTAAGGTACATCTGTGCTGTAGCACCTGGTGTCTTTCATATGTGGACAGTAGAGTCTAGTTGAGACAACCTGGATCTTATAACCAAGGTACATCTGTGCTGTAGCACCTGGTGTCTTTCATATGTGGGCAGTGGAGCCTAGTTGTGACAACCTAGATCTTATAACTAAGGTACATCTGTGCTGTAGCACCTGGTGTCTTTCATGTGTGGACAGTCGAGCCTAGTTGTGACAACCTAGATCTTATAACTAAGGTACATCTGTGCTGTAGCACCTGGTGTCTTTCATGTGTGGACAGTGGAGCCTAGTTAAGACAACCTGGATCTTGTAACTAAGGTACATCTGTGCTGTAGCACCTGGTGTCTTTCATGTGTGGACAGTGGAGCCTAGTTGAGACAACCTAGATCTTGTAACTAAGGTAGATCTGTGCTGTAGCACCTGGTGCCTTTCATGTGTGGACGTTGGAGCCTAGTTGAGACAACCTAGATCTTATAACTAAGGTACATCTGAGCTGTAGCACCTGGTGTCTTTCATGTGTGGACAGCGGAGCCTAGTTGAGACAACCTGGATCTTTAAACTAAGGTAGATCTGTGCTGTAGCACCTGGTGTCTTTCATATGTGGACAGTGGAGCCTAGTTAAGACAACCTGGATCTTATAACTAAAGTACATCTGAGCTGTAGCACCTGGTGTCTTTCATGTGTGGACAGTGGAGCCTAGTTGAGACAACCTGGATCTTTTAACTAAGGTAGATCTGTGCTGTAGCACCTGGTGTCTTTCATGTGTGGACAGCGGAGCCTAGTTAAGACAACCTGGATCTTATAACTAAGGTACATCTGAGCTGTAGCACCTGGTGTCTTTCATGTGTGGACAGTGGAGCCTAGTTGAGACAACCTGGATCTTTTAACTAAGGTAGATCTGTGCTGTAGCACCTGGTGTCTTTCATGTGTGGACAGTGGAGCCTAGTTGTGACAACCTAGATCTTATAACTAAGGTACATCTGTGCTGTAGCACCTGGTGTCTTTCATGTGTGGACAGTGGAGCCTAGTTGTGACAACCTAGATCTTATAACTAAGATACATCTGTGCTGTAGCACCTGGTGTCTTTCATGTGTGGACAGTGGAGCCTAGTTGTGACAACCTAGATCTTATAACTAAGGTACATCTGTGCTGTAGCACCTGGTGTCTTTCATGTTTGGACAGTGGAGCCTAGTTGTGACAACCTGGATCTTGTAACTAAGGTACATCTGTGCTGTAGCACCTGGTGTCTTTCATGTTTGGGCAGTCAAGTCTAGTATACGCCATGTCGATACAATGATACTGTTCTCTTGTACAGCCCAACATTACAGGCATCACCTCATTGTGTATGCACTTTAGAATTTCCAGTTGGCTGCAAGATATTGTGAGCAAGGGTAGGTCATGTTTAGACTTTGACACTAGCTGTGATGTCAGAGGGTAGGTAACCTTTAACCTTTGACCATAACCGTGGTACCTTACCTTTACACTTTAACCCTAGCTATATTGTCAGAGGGTAGAAAACTTCTAAACTTTGACCCTGGCTGTGATGTCAGAGGGAACAACTTACCTACCTTTTAATTGTTCTTAGCATTAATGTTTACTGATCAGTGTTGTTGTCTGTCCCCCAACAGGTTGACCCATTCCACACAGTGTTTGGCCTAGCAGGCCTGTCTCTGTTGGGCGACACTTCTGTCCAGCCAGTCAACCCTGTCTTCTGTATGCCAGAGGCTGTCATCAGGAAGTTAAATATACAGCTGCAGTATTTGTAGCACTATTCATCCTTTCAGCCAGTTTACAGTAAATGATTTCAGGCCCAGCTTGTGGTGATTGATTACTGTAAAACTATTATTTTATAACCTATGGTTGTCAAACAGACTGTTAAACAGGACTTTCTGCCTGTACTGGCGATTGTCCCCAGTGGCATCTACGTGTATCTTTTCATTTGGCTCATTTTCCGAGAGACTCTAGGGTGGAAGTGACACAGAGTTACAACCACAGGAAACTGTGTGTAGGTTTGTGTGACATGTTGGAGCATTTAGGGTCTACTGATCCTCGTCACTCTCAGGTAATCCTGGTAATCCTAGTTTCAGTTTCATAGCAAACAGGTCACCCCATAGTAGAAGTGGTACACTGATACACCTTCAGGAGACTGTAGATATTTGTCCTATCTAAGAGATTTCAGGATCTGCTGTTTCTCAACACTGTAGGCAGAAGTGGAGGGAGAAAGAGAGAAACCGGAGTGGAGTGAGAAAGACAGAAACAGAAGTGGAGGGAGAAAGACAGAAACAGAAGTGGAGGGAGAAAGAGAAATAGGTGTGGAGTGAGAAAGACAGAAATAGGTGTCGAGTGAGAAAGTCAGAAATAGGTATGGAGTGAGAAAGACAGAAATAGGTGTCGAGTGAGAAAGACAGAAAAAGGTGTCGAGTGAGAAAGACAGAAATAGGTGTCGAGTGAGAAAGATAGAAATAGGTGTCGAGTGAGAAAGACAGAAATAGGTGTCGAGTGAGAAAGACAGAAATAGGTGTCGAGTGAGAAAGACAGAAATAGGAGTTGAGTGAGAAAGATAGAAATAGGTGTCGAGTGAGAAAGACAGAAATAGGTGTCCCATAAACCCCAGTGATAGAGGTCACAAGGTCATGGAATGAGTCACCCAAAACATAAGTTTTGACCTATTTAATGCTTCACTCTGTTTGTGTTTATTGATTATTAGCTTCATATATTTTGAAAAACATTTGAAATTGTAGATAAATAAATTGTTGACATTTTTAATTATGATCTGTGTCAGAGATTGAGTTGGATTGAGTCTGTATATTTCTGAAGCTTGGTTCAAGCATGAAGCTGGGTTATATTTTCTTGTCTGTATTATCTTCCTGTTTGCATTTTTTCTTTTTTTTTTAAATTTTTATCAAGTTAAACTGATCTTGTGATATTCCAACACTTCTATAATCTCTGAATGAATGAATGTGTCCTGGGTGACTAGAGACCTGAGGCCTCAAACATGGCAAGAACACATGATGGTCTATTGTCTGAGGGCTGATATCTTAGCTTGAGGTTGAGAGAGCCAGTACCACAGCCAGCAACATCTCTCCACTATAGCTGTGAGAGAGCCAGTACCACAGCCAGCAACATCTTTCCACTATAGTTGGGAGAGAGCTAGTACCACAGCCAGCAACACCTGTCCACTATAGCTGGGAGAGAGCCAGTACCACGGCCAGCAACACCTGTCCACTAAAGTTGGGAGAGAGCCAGTACCACGGCCAGCAACATCTCTCCACTATAGCTGGGAGAGAGCCAGTACCACAGCCAGCAACATCTCTCCACTAAAGCTGGGAGAGAGCCCACTAAAGCTGGGAGAGAGCCAGTACCACAGCCAGCAACATCTCTCCACTATAGCTGGGAGAGAGCCAGTACCACAGCCAGCAACATCTCTCCACTATAGTTGGGAGAGAGCCAGTACCACAGCCAGTAACATCTCTCCACTATAGCTGGGAGAGAGCCAGTACCACAGCCAGCAACATCTCTCCACTATTTAGTAGTTAGGAGAGAGCCAGTACCACAGTCAGCAACATCTCTCCACTATAGTTGGGAGAGAGCCAGTACCACAGCCAGCAACATCTCTCCACTATAGCTGGGAGAGAGAGCCACAGTCAGTACCACTATAGCTGGGAGAGAACCAGTACCACAGCAACTCTCAACATAGCTCTCCACTATAGTTGGGAGAGAGCCAGTACCACAGCCAGCAACATCTCTCCACTATAGTTGGGAGAGAGCCAGTACCACAGCCAGCAACACCTGTCCACTATAGCTGGGAGAGAGCCAGTACCACAGTCAGCAACATCTCTCCACTATAGCTGGGAGAGAGCCAGTACCACAGCCAGCAACATCTCTCCACTATAGTTGGGAGAGAGCCAGTACCACAGCCAGCAACACCTCTCCACTATAGCTGGGAGAGAGCCAGTACCACAGCCAGCAACATCTCTCCACTATAGCTGGGAGAGAGCCAGTACCACAGCCAGCAACATCTCTCCACTATAGCTGGGAGAGAGTCAGTACCACAGCCAAACACAACACATCTCTCTCCACTATAGCTGGGAGAGAGCCAGTACCACAGCCAGCAACATCTCTCCACTATAGCTGGGAGAGAGCCAGTACCACAGTCAGCAACATCTCTCCACTATAGCTGGGAGAGAGCCAGTACCACAGCCAGCAACATCTCTCCACTATAGCTGGGAGAGAGCCAGTACCACAGCCAGCAACATCTCTCCACTATAGTTGGAAGAGAGTCAGTACCACGGGCAGCAACATCTCTCCACTATAGCTGGGAGAGAGCCAGTAACACAGTCAGCAACATCTCTCCACTATAGCTGGGAGAGAGCCAGTACCACAGTCAGCAACATCTCTCCACTATAGCTGGGAGAGAGCCAGTACCACAGTCAGCAACATCTCTTCACTATAGCTGGGAGAGAGCCAGTACCACAGCCAGCAACATCTCTCCACTATAGCTGGGAGAGAGCCAGGTACCACAGCCAGCAACATCTCTCCACTATAGTTGGGAGAGAGCCAGTACCACAGCCAGCAACATCTCTCCACTATAGCTGGGAGAGAGCCAGTACCACAACCAGTAACACCTGTCCACTATAGCTGGGAGAGAGCCAGTACCACAGTCAATGGCACCTGTCCACTATAGCTGGGAGAGAGCCAATACCACAGTCAGCAACACCTGTCCACTATAGTTGGGAGAGAGCCAGCAACATCTTTCCACTATAGTTGGGAGAGAGCTAGTACCACAGCCAGCAACATCTCTCCACTATAGTTGGGAGAGAGCCAGTACCACAGCCAGCAACACCTGTCCACTATAGTTGGGAGAGAGCCAGTACCACAGCCAGCAACATCTCTCCACTATAGTTGGGAGAGAGCCAGTACCACAGCCAGCAACATCTCTCCACTATAGTTGGAAGAGAGCCAGTACCACAGCCAGCAACATCTCTCCACTATAGCAGGGAGAGAGCCAGTACCACAGCCAGCAACATCTCTCCAATATAGTTGGGAGAGTGCCAGTAGCACAGCCAGCAACATCTCTTCACTATAGTTGGGAGAAAGCCAGTACCACAGCCAGCAACATCTCTCCACTATAGCTGGGAGAGAGCCAGTACCACAGCCAGCAACATCTCTCCACTATAGCTGGGAGAAAGCCAGTACCACAGCCAGCAACATCTCTCCACTATAGCTGTGAGAGAGCTAGTACCACAGTCAGCAACATCTCTCCACTATTTAATACCATGGACAGCGCCAGCACTAGCAGTAAGGCCGAACAAATCCTCGGAAATTCCCGTTTTTTGGTCCTGTCGATGGCTGTTCTGTGCTCACCAGTGTTATGGAGTAAATTTGCAACATCTTTTATTGGATGAAATAACGAAGGAACGAACGAACAAACTATATTTTTAAAGGGTTAAGAATTGGGCACGCAGGCCCGTTTAACATTCTGCCCTTCCACTCCGCTCCTTTCATACAATGTTTCATTTTTACCTCATTTCATAGTTAATAATAATAATTAATAATAATAATAAAAAGAGGAATGCACAATTAAAAATTTGAGAAATATAGAAAAGAAACAAAAGAACAAAAAAGAGAAGAAGAAAAAAAATTACAATATCTAAGTCTTAATTACAAATGCTGGAATGTGCTCTAATTTATACTGACATTACTTGAACGTTTGAAAGAGTATAATAATAAGCCTATTCAAAATATGATGTAAGTCTTACAGGTTGCATAATATAAACATCATCAAAACCAATTAAATATTAGTTACAAACGAATGCATTCGACTGACATCTTCAGTTTTAAACAATAATAAGCTTCAGTTTTCAACCCCCGCCAAGTTCCCCGACCCCCCCCCCCCCTCCCCCTCTCCAAAACCGTTAATAAGAAATACATTAAAGCCTTAACATACTATAATCTTTTTAGGGGGGCATATAGTTTGTAGTGAGATAATAATCAAATAGTTCTGATTGTATCTAAAGGGGTTATTGATATTTTTTATTTACCGGTTGGAAGATTATACCACAGCTGAGCTGCAGAGTACCGCTAAGCTTGTTTTTAATATAGGTCTATTTCTAGGTTTAGAGATATGCAATATGTTAAGGCGTTTGCTATGTCTTCCATTGTATTTAAATAATGGCCAAAGGTAACATGGAGCATTTTTAGATATGATTTTCTTAATAAGTTTAGCTTTATTGAATAGTAAGCGTTCCTGGAGCGAAAATAGCATGAGTTCTTTATATAGGTGCGAACAGTCACTTTCTCGACTATTAGCTATTAAACTAAAACAGCCCTTCTGTGCAGTGCTTTCAGCCGTTTGATGACTGAATTTGCACATCCATCCCATATTGTGGAGCAATAGTCTATGTGGGTCTGAATATGAGAAGTATAGAATAATTTTCCTAGAGTTTTTCCATCAGAAAGTTTTTAATTTTTTGCTAGTTGGTATACCTTTGTAGCAGTTTGCTTAACAAGTGTTTGCACATGGGAGTTGAAGGTAAGATTTCCATCGATGATCAGACCTAAAGTTTTGTGCTCAGTTACACTTTCTACAGGTGTGTTACCTAGGAGGAGTTAAAGGGTTCTATGAGCGTTTTAAGTGCACAGTTTTTGTCTTGTTGTTATTAACATAGATTTTGCCTTACTTATGTTGATTTGCATGCGGTTTGCGTAGCTCCAACTAACTACATTGTTTAATTCTTATTGCAAAGACAACTCTAGTATATTACAA